TAAGAAGGCAAGAGGTTTTTTATTTTTTTTTCCTCTTGTCGTACTTACATTAGTTTAGTAATTCACATCCACACACAGAAACAACAACACCCCTCACGCTGAAACACACAGTTCAAACAACGACACGTTCGTCGCACCCAACACCAACGATTCCATTCACGTGCATTATAAACAACACCGTTCACAACCCGAACACGCTTCCCAAAATCCAACCTCTGGGTCCACGTCCCGGGAAGCGGTAACATCGGTCGCAACGGCCGATGGCCAAAGAGGCTCTGGTAACAATTTACTTTTGATGTTAAAATCTGAATTTGAATTCTTATAACGAAATCATTTACTTGTATCAAAATATTTTTTACTGATTGTATATATGTTACTGTGAATGACCGATATCTGGCGAATGTCAACATTCTCCGGTGAATGTCAGCATTCACACAGCCGTTTCGTGTATGTACGAAATATTTGCTAAATATCATTATTTCTCACTTACACCGGCAAATGTCGACATTCAGCATGCACTGATGGTGAATGTTGAATAAAAATATTTTTTACGTTAAGACAAAAATGCAACTTTTCAATATGTCAAAATAGGAGAAAGCTTAAGTAACAGCGCATGTAAATAAACTGTTAAACCTAAAACAAACAGTACATTCTTAATCATTAAAAAAATAATACAATAATAAACTTACACATAAATTATGTGATTAACGTCATACAATCTTGTTTATTGCAACAACATAAACTGTTACGGTATTTTGAATTGCACAAGAATCCCTTGCTTTTATTACTGCATTTATTCATGGAACACTTCGAACGGCCCTCCACTTTTCGAATTAGCTGCAGCTGCTTCTCTCGGCGATATTTCTTGAGAAGAAATCTCATCTATGGAAAGTAATTTTTCTTTACAAATTACGAACTGATTGCGGATATAAAGCTGCTTGAGGGTACCATTTTTGTTTGCTAATTTATAAAAAGTTGGAGTCTTCTATTCCAACAACAACCGCCATACATTTCGGGCATCTGTACGGCCACTGTCAACATCGAGGACTTCTATTCGTACAGTATAACCAATTTGAGCAGAAGGAAACGGCGAAGAATTTTGCGACAGAATGTCGCCCCTCTGTCGACATCGGCTTCTCGGGTGTCGTTTCTACCTCCACCAAAGCTTATGGGTGCTTGTCAACATACACCGGCGATCGTTCGAATGTATAATAATATAACCAAATATTCGGTCTTTCACCGTCGTATTTTATATGTGTCGACATTCACCGGAAAATATCGACATTCTCTAATTTCGGTCTTTCACAGTAACATATATACACATACACACACAATGGAACCTGCCAATGTGACCATCTCGGTGACAAGGCCACCTTCCTATAGTGGGCAAATTTATTTGGCCTGAAATTTACTCGATAGATTTTAGGGATAATTTTTCTCTCTGTATGGCCTTACACACCTGCTTATTGTGTAATGCGATCACTGTTAGATCTGGTTTTCCTGAAATCTAACCTGTTAAAGTGATCACTTTATGGAAAAAAATGGTGGGTTGTGGGTTTTTGGGTTACTGGCGACCTGCGCGTTGTGGACAAGAAGAAATTCTACTTGCAGGTCAACATCTGCCTCTCACATATTGTAGTATTTTCATTATTAGAAGTTGTTTCAATATTATAATACGGCAACTATTGTGAGGAACTAAATTCAATTCACATTTCAGTAAGAACATTTATTTAATGTTCTAAAAACTGAAAAAGTAGAAATAATTTCCTTACATCTGAAAGTTGCTTTTATATGATTTTTAAGGTAAGCTTCTAACTTTTCTTTGGGCACTAGTGATATAAAATCCAGCCCAAAATTTATAAATTGTTTAAGCTATAAAAATCTGAGACGTCTAGCAACCTTGTTGAAACAGAATTTGGAAAATTCCAGAAATATCAGTAGAAAGCGTTGTTTTTTACTGTGTACACCATTTTACTGACGACGCGTTGTAGGAATTTATGTTTTTTTTTGTTTTTTCTTTTTAATACTCTTTCCGCAGTGTGGGCACTAAGAGGGTCTCTTATAACAGGCCCATTATGGGTTTCTTTTTTAAACTTTCCGCCCTGTGGGCACTAAGAGGGTCTCTTTTTGCAAGCTCATTATGGCCAGGCCCACAATGGGGCTGCCGGGTGGTGAGGGACGGGCCCGACATATCCGAACGGACCACCACCCGAAAAGTTCCTGGGGATTTTACGACCCGTTCGGATTCGAACCCGGGTCCCCCCAGAGCGGTAGGCTGCCACCTTGACCGCTCGGCCATCCGGCCTTAAAAAATATATATATAAATATAAACAATTATAAAAAAATATAATCCTTATAGTTATCGAATGTTTAAAAATAGATAGACAGAAATAATAATTTTAATTCAAATATCTGTTTTCGTACTTTGAAAAAAGCAGAGGGCGCAAATATAAAGATCAATGTTTGGATCGGCGATGCCGAGGATTTATGTTGCGGTTTTTAAAGATTTTTCGATGTGATCGGTCTTAATTAAATAAATAAAATAAAATGCCGGTAAGAAATATTATCTACATTCACCTAAATAAATTTATTGTTTGTTGTTTAAACATATTAATTACATGTCAAATGTTTTTTTAGTTACAAATAATTTACTCTCATAAACAAATATCAATATCATACTGTACAGTATTGTCCTCATTAGCTACAGATAGAAAAAAAGAACGTTGTTAAAGTTTCTTTTTCTCTGACATAAATATAAATAATGAAGATTTTTATTTTTCTCTTTATTGAACTTTGGAAAAAATAATAGAATTTAATTTTTTGAATTTGATAAAAGTCTGCTGAATGAAGTGGAATGCAACTTATTGAAAAGCGTAACACGAAGGAGTAAAATTTTCACAATTATATTTTACAGCCGTTCTTATCAGTCATGTGCAAAACAGAAAATAAATACTTTTGAAAAATAGCATTCTTTATTCTAAATTTAGGGTAATTGTTTATAAGCCTATATCAACGTTTTCTCTCTTAATTTTATTTACAATGGAGACATACATACTAGATATGTCTAAGATACATAGAATATTTGAGAGGCCACTCATTTAAAAAACTCTATAAACAAAAAAGTCATATGACTACTTATCGACTCTGCACCATTTCAGCTGCCATTGCTTAAGCTTGTTTTTTACAAACCAACAAAATATGCTTTAAATACTACACAAAATAAAAAGTAGTTAATATCTTTATGTTAATTCTTTTCTTTCTATGATTGACTTCTAAAAATTTTAAGGGTTGGTAAGGGGCCTCGCACAGAGTTCAGCTTAGCGCCTTGAAACACTTAAATCTAGCCCTATGTCCCACACAAAATTACTGACATTTTAAACTTTAAAGAAAAATCCTTTAAAATTGACAGCATAACTTGTTCATATAAAGCTGGACAATTGGGAAACTTTTTTGCCAATTCTTAACAATTGAATCCGCTCTTTCAATCGGTTATATTTATGAGCTTCTCCGAATTCCGATTTCCGAATAATCATCTGTTTTTCATGTGGAAATACTGTAGATGAAAACTTATATTTGGTTCCCATATGGTTTTTTTGTTTATAGAATGTTTTAAATGAGTGGCCCCTCAAATATTCTGTGTGTTTTGGACATGTCTAGCATGTATGTCTCTATTGTAAATAAAATTAAGAGAGAAAATGTTGGTGTATGGCTTATAAACAATTACCCTAAATATTTATATTACTAATCAAGACATTTGTGTTGTCAATTATTATTGATTGAAATATACATAAATAACTTGTCATATTTAAAACAATACATTTTAAAAGTATTCAACAAATTTTGATTGCAACATTTTACTGCAGTGTGTCTTTAATGGGTGAAGTTGAATTTATCAGTTTGTTAGAAATTTTTAAAATATATTGTCTTAAATAAAATTTATTATAATATTAATTTTTTCCAGATAAATTTCAGCTAAAGAGATTAAATAAGATAAGCCTTGACCAGACTTAGAATGCATCTTAATTAATACAATAAAATTAGTGGAGAGTAGTGTTTATTTTCTGTTTTTGTGTTGATAATTTACAAATAGATTAATACAATATTCAGCACTATTTTTCATTTTATATGAATGAAAATATCTCATTATCTGTGTTAGCAAAAAAATATATTATATAATATAAGACATAATTTGATATTTATTACAGGCAGAAAAAACTGCAGATTCGGAAAATGTAAGGGTGGTAGTGAGGAGTCGGCCTATGAGTGAAAAAGAAGTAGCGGCAGGATATAAAAATATTGTAGAGGTATATTTAAGTTATACTTTTGTAATATTTATTTCTTACAGAATATTTAAATAATACTACATTACATTACATAATACAGTAGAGTCCCGAAAACTCAACACTCGATAACCCGGCAGTCTGGATAACTCAGCCAAACCCTGACAGGGTGAAAAAACCCCTAGTTAATTTTTATTATAGACAGATTTATGTTTTATTAAGTATTTTTCTGAGGTCTGTCTTATCAGGTAAATTACTGTACACTGTGTATTCATTAATTTTCATTTTCATGTAGTAATGGCTCTATGCCTTCATAAAGTACGTACTTTTCCTTTGTTTAAGGGTATTTGGGCAGTTTATTCTCTTGTATTCTCAAGAAAACAATACATACAAGTACAGTACAGTATTTTCTGAGGACTCCACACTCTTACTTATTCTTTTTTAACCCCATTCCTGATAACCCGGCATTTTCACGAACTCGGCCACCCTTCGGTCCACATTAGGCTGAGTTTTCAGGACTCTACTGTATTAGCATTAGTAATGAATATAATAACATAAATTATTTTTTAAAGATGCAAGGATGCAAGGATATTACTGCAAAAGAATATGAGAAATTATAATGTTTATAGTACTGTATGTTATGTATTATATGAAATGAAATATTGTTTTATACAGTAGAGCCTCGATTATCCGACCCAATTGGGGACTGGGGTTGGTCGGATAATTGAAAAGTCGGATAACCGAAAAGTATGAAAAAATCCATTATTAGTGTAGTATATTATTATATTCCATGTAATTAGTAAAATTAGTATATCGCTATTAACCTACTTCGTGTTGAATTTTCATCGATGTTAAGCCTAACAAAAATTTTTTAAAATAATAATCGTCGCTATTATATCGTTAAAAATTAGAAAATTAAGCCTCGTTTAAATACTGGCTCCCTTTCATGGTCGAATGAGTGTTGCCAGCTAAAACACGTAAAAATAATATTAAAGTAGCCGAGACATAGCCAAATTTTGTAGTGCCACATCACTAGCAGACATTTGAAATTTGCCGACTAGGACGGTCAGTTAACCGAGGTGGCGGTTAATCGGGGGTCGGATAATCGAGGCTCTACTGTATTTGGTATATTTTCTTTAAATTAGTAGTAATGATTGAATTTTATAAGAAAAATTTTACGATTACTTGGTCAGATAATAACAAAGAAAATTAACTTACTATCAAGAAGGCTCTCAGTTCAAATTAATATAGATCTTTTTGGTTTATGATGGATAATTCAGGTGAGGTTTTCAAAATTTAGAATTGGTACATAGTCAATAATATTTAATTCTTTACTAGAAAGATTTAAAATGGCAATTACAGTCGACCCCCCTAAACAATGTTGATTATTCTGTTTTATATGAATTTCATGTTGTATGAGTCACTTAGATTTTACGAATACGCGAGTCGTTTATAGCCCAACATACGTATTTGTAAAATCTAAGTGACTCGTACAACATGGAATTCATATAAAACGGAATTATCAACAGTGTTATAGGGGGTTGACTGTATAAAACTTGGATTAATTGTTTACATTTTTAAAAAGTGTTCTTTTAATGTCTTTTAATGATCAAAAAGTGAGCAATCCTTGGAAATCAGTCTAGTCAATATTAAGGATAACATAACATTTCAAACTCCATTTACTTGAGATAGAATTTCATTTTACCTATTTTTATTTGCTGTACATAAGAAATTAACTTATTTTTAACTTCTAATAACTATGGTCATAACTAATTTAAAATTATTTGGATCATAATTTAGGATCTAATTAATTTTTATACAAACATTTCACTTATAAAAATTTCTTATCTGAAGAATCTTTTTATATATCTATACTACTATATAAAGAGACAATGTATTTTTTGTTTGTGACCACTAACCATGAAAACTACTNTTTATACAAACATTTCACTTATAAAAATTTCTTATCTGAAGAATCTTTTTATATATCTATACTACTATATAAAGAGACAATGTATTTTTTGTTTGTGACCACTAACCATGAAAACTACTGAACCAATAATTACTAAATTTTAACTGTAGCATTTTTATGATCCCCGGAATGTTTACCACTAATCAAACCTACAGATTTTTTATTAAATAAAACTGTAACGGATTTCTGTCTGTTTATTTGTCTCTCTCTTCACTAGATGGCGACACATGAATTAGTACTTTCTGTCTAAAAGAAAAGTCTATTATTAAAGTTTACTATTATATTTGAAGAACTGACATTAAATTATAATTAGTTAATTAGCAAAATCTTTGAGGAATTAAAAAAGTGATGTCATCATGCTAGATGACAGTATGTGTACTTATGAAGGATTTTCAAATCATTACGCATTAATTTCTGCAGGTAATTGTACAAAATATTCGAAATAGTTATTGGATTTATCTCAAGTGAATATTTTTCAGATTGATTGATAAATAATGTCGAGAGCTGCGAGAGCACAAATAGGAAGAAAAAGTTCTGGAGCTATTATTATTCATAATTGTACACAATGTGAATCTACAGCAGAGCGATCTCAAAGACTAGAAGAGCAATGGATTCGTTTGGCTCAGAATCGAATGAGTATAGCAAGGAATTTTTTAAGTTTCAAATCAATATAACTTAATCAGAAGTTTTATGATTTTATTTTTTTATATTTTGCAATACTCTACTGCAATACTACACATTGATCACCCAAAAATAATTAATGAACAGTTAGTTCAAATTTTCGAAGTTCTATATGTATATAAGAGTGGGCGAGGCCGTGCGGGGATGCTAGTTTTATAAATAGAATTTTGAAATGTTTTCTCTCAATTATATATTTTCAGTACCAAGTATTTTCTGTCAATATACTGTAGATTTTTTGTATGTACAATGTGATTACAATTTATAAGTTTAACTCATTCCTGAAAACTTAACATAAAACAAAATCTCATAAATACAGAGAAGCTTTTCTGTTATTTCGTATAGTTGAAATTTGTATGTTGTTGTATAACCCAGTTATATTCTTGCTTCCTGAATAACATTGAAGTGTTATAAAACTATTTACCTATCAACCAATGGTTCTAATTGAAATAAAATAAATAAACTGAGTGTTCATTAAATTATTCACCAATCTAAAAGGAACAGATACAAAATGAGAGAAGCAAATATGTAAGTTATCAGATATTTATTTAAGAAAAAAGTTATTAGTCAAAGCAATAAGTAAGCAGGAAACAAGTAAAATAGAATAAAATAGAATAGTTTTTTAATTAAAATTGTAAACATTAAGAGAAGGATCTGTAATGCAGAGATGAAGTTTATTAAACAGCCAAGTTACATTGGAATGAATAGCACTACCACTAGCAAACAAAGACACAACTTGGATGAAATAAAGAAAATGGAGATTAGAAACTATGAACTATCTAATTGGAACATGTGGAAATTCGTTCTTGTAGCATATATGATTAGAATAGTTTGTTCACAAAAATATCAGTTGGTGTTTGGTGTATTAAGTATTTTGTCTCATAAATGAGAGGGAGGAAGAAAATTATCTTTTATTTATGTTTACTATAGTATTCATAAATAAGGATCACACTGTAAAAAGAAATAACCATGTTATTTTTGCATAATAAATAGCATTTTTTGTACTCAGTATTTGAATCTCAAGATTGTGTCCAAATGTTGGTACATTTATTATAAAACTAATGGCATTTAAGGGTTGATTGTTTATGATTAAGGCAAAAATATAAATATTTAGTGTAATTGATAGACTTTAATTATTAATTATATTCAAGATTTTCTTAAAATTTATACTTTTATATTTAATTTTTTTTGAANATATATATATATATAAGAATATATATTTATATTTAATTTCCAAGGAAATGACTTTATATAATGGGTACATTAATTAAAAAGATTTGCAAAGCTATTAAAATAAAGTTATTCATTATATGTGTAAAATTTTGCATCTGTTATGTAGTTAACTATATATTTGTTTATGATATTAAGCCAATAATAAATTTTTATTCATAAAAAATTATAAAATATTACTTTCATAATCATATGCAAACAATGATATAATATAAAATCAAATTAATCAAATGTACATAAAACAAGCAAAATAAATTATATGTATAATTTATTTTGCTTGTTTATGGCCTGAAATTAAATATTCTATTGTCTGATTTGAAAATGTGAAATTAAGTTATCAAGTATCAAGTAGTAGCCCTAGATTTAAAATTTTAATTTGTCTCTTGCGTATAGAAACAGAGTAAAAATATTATTTATCATTTGTATTTTATAATTTTTTATTTTAAATTCTGATTACTTATAGGTTGATAGTGTTCAAGGAATGGTTACTGTATGGAATCCAAATGGAACTCAAGGAGAGCCTCCTAAAAGATTCACATTTGATACTGTATTTGGACCAGATGCAAAACAACTAGATGTATATAATCAAGCTGCCAGACCAATTATTGATAATGTATTAGAAGGGTATAATGGTATGTAATTTTTAAATTGCTAAATCAAATTCTATATATTTTTGGAGTGGTTTTCTTTCATTTTATAAGAATTTAGTATAATCATTTAAAATATACAATAAAAACTGTGTAAATCAAAATCACACTATACCAAGTTTATTTTTCAGTTTTTACAGGTTTTCACTTTGAACAAATTTTAGTATTTTTTTTAAAATTTAATTTAAACTACACCATATTAATGTCATACAATTACATTCATTTTTAAAATAAAATCTCTTTTACATACATAAAAATAATTTATTAGTAGGTTTAATCTAAAAGTTTACTGGGTTTTATTACTAAATATGGGAGTATTGCACTGCAAGAATTGAAAGCCATTTGATCCTAAAAAGTTTTCATTGTTCCAAAAATCTGTTCTAGGCATTTGAATAGTTCTTGGATTTGATCCTTATGTGCTCACACAACAGTGAACAATCTAATTGAAATACCAAGAACTAGTGTCTCACTCCGCCATTATAAATTCTAATCACATCTGACATCTTGAGGAATTTTAATATTCTAATTAATCATTAACTTCAATCTCTGTAATTACCAACAGCATTAATCAACTTGTTAGCAAATAGAATGCTCAATACTATTAGTTACTATAGTATCAAGCATTCTATTTGTACTATCTAACTATTCCAAACAATATAAATTGGCAGTACTGTGTTACCTTTTTCTTGTTGTTTTCAAAAAATTGCATTTGGTGCTTGTCATTGATAACTCTGTTCTTAGAAACTCGTTCGATTTTTGAAAGTATTTGATTCTTACCCTGGTCAGCTAATGTTAACTAATAATAACTAACAAAGACTAATATTAACAAAGATGCTGTGTATGTATGTCTCCTCATATGACCTTCATTTCTTTGTAGTTTCAGAAATATTCTCAAAACACAATTTGTCATGCTCTGCAGTGATTTTTATGTCTAATTTACCTATTCATTAACTAGTGAAATTTTGATTTTTCACTTTTTTTAGGTTAAATTTAGTTATTAGTACCCAAATATCTCTTTTTTTTTCTGCATTAGTTAGGTTTCTAGCCTATTGTAAAATTTAACACAGAAAATTGCCTTATTCCAAACTTTTTTGTTTAGGCAGATTTCCATTTTATTCAGATTCCCTTTTACTGTTTTTATTTTGAAATTTTCTCTCTTGAACTGAGACTTTTGTTATCCAATATGATGACTAAAGCAAAGTTGAAAAATCCACAAAACTACAATTAGAAAACTACAGTACCTCTCTGATCATCCATCACTGACACTAAAGTTGGTTTCTACTCCAAATACCCCAGCAATTTCCATCACCTTTTGTTTCAGTATTGGTTTCAAAACAGGACAATTTGATGAATGAATTTGCTTTAGCCAACATACCAGAGCATCTTTGTATGGTGACTTTCTCTGGCATTTTTGAGACAGCTGCAATGAAAAGCCAAGAAAAAGTTTCTTAATTTCTTCTTTTTTTCTGTAGGATTCCCACCAATGTTGTTTTTGAAAGGTTTTTTTTTTTTATAAATTCGGCTTGCAAAGTTTTTTTACATTCAAATTCAGACACAAGTTCTTATTTATCCTTCAGTGTAAGCATTGTTAGCTTTTGGACACTCATTTCTAACAGAAATGTGAAACACGTGCTACAAAATAATGCATAACGTGAGAAAATGCAAAATTGGATTCTGCTTCAACATTGATATAGATTGTATATTGATTTTTTGTTTATCTGTTATTAATTTATATGTAAAAATACATAAAATGTTAAGGCATTTTTATTAATATGTATATATTAATAAATAAGTCAACTCTCCTCCAGAAAAAAATGAGTTCATGCCACACAGTTTACTGTGCAGTGTGAACTCATTTTTTTCAGTAGGGGAGTTGACTTATCATACATCTAAACAAGTGTGGGACAGCAAAAGTATATCAATTTATCCAATGGTGTTGAGTAAACCAGGGTTTTTTAATATTAATGCCTATGTAAGTTGGTTGGGATCACAGAAAACTGACTACTTAACTGACAGTGTCTAGTTATGCCTATGACGACTTGTGCGGACTTGACTATAAATATTTTAAAGCAATTACTTAATTAAAAAATGTAGCAGTAGAATAATAATTTTTTTTTTCATATTTTTATATTAATTAAGAATATTTAAATTTATTTCATATATTGCTTTAATATATTCAGATTGCAAGAGAAAATAATTTAAAATGTTTGGAATGCTTATAATAAAAGCAGTTATAAAAATTTTTATAACTACTTTTATTAAAAACCTTCTGTTCATCTGTATAACAGATCAACTTTAAAATATTAATTTTATAAATTCTGAATTTTTATTTCAATTTTTAGTATTATGTTTTTTTTCTCTACACATGACATGGAATATTAAAGTTATGATTTTTTAAGAAATATTATAAATGTTTTCTTAATCACCTTATTCATAGTATCATTTACAAAAAATTTAGATAGATATTATATTTCAATAAAAATATCTAAGCTTCTAGATGGTTTGAAAAACTCATGTAATTGTATTTCAAAAAATAAAAAAATGATTTTGTTTGATTTATATTTAATTTGTTATAAATTAATTATAATATTGTATTCTAAATATCTGTAGTTTGCTTTAAAATATTTCAAATGCCAATAAAAAGACAAAAGTTCTCACATATGATAAAATAGAAAGAAAAAATCTACTTATACTTTTTCAATTTAATTATAAATGGATTTTTTAAACTTCTGTTTATTGAGTGAAGTAAATAAGTTTCACAAAACATCTGAATTTTTGTTAACTGACAATGCTATAGAACCTGAAGAAAGCTATTAAACATGGCCAAAAACGTTTGTTCACTCAAGAAACTGCTAGAAAATGTGTAAAAAGGTTTTGTGAAACTTATTTAAAGAAGTTCTAGCTTTCCATGCATGGAATTGAATGAAGAATATAATTAACAATACTGAATTTATACTTTATTTCAAAATTAACATAATAATAATAATAATAATATACCATTCAATTTTTATTTAGGAACAATATTTGCTTATGGACAAACAGGAACTGGAAAAACATTTACAATGGAAGGAGTTCGTTCAGTACCAGAATTGAAAGGAATTATTCCAAATTCTTTTGCACATATCTTTGGTCATATTGCAAAAGCAGAAGATGATAAAACGTAAATTTTTAAGTAGAAATATTAATTATCGTTATACCATATGTTTCTTTATAAAATAATTAATTTATAAAAATTGTTTATACATTTATGTGTATTATGCATTGCATTAAATTTTTATGAATTTAGTTTATTAATAATTTTATGTTAAAGTAGTAGTTTAATCTTTTATATGGTAAATCCATTATATTCAATTACATTTATTACTAATTCTGAAATATGAGGATTATGTTATAATTATTGATCACTAATGCATAAAAAAGTGAGCTTCAAAGTTATCAAAGTTTTTGCAGGCACTTCAAATAGTTTAAGCCATGTCTAATACCTGTTGCCAAATTTCTGGCAGGCTCTATACTCCATTGACAGAGTGTATGGATCACTCTTTTTCAGCTAAAGTAATTAATGAGAATTGACCTCATATAAGAAATTCCTTGAACATCACTAACAATCTGCATTTACACAAGAACTGCTTACACAACAATGATTGCTGCCATATTGCTGGTATGGTAACAACAATGCTGCAGGAATAAAGTTGGGAGAACATTTAGAGTCTGCCCTATCTCCCAACATCTCTCCTGTGATTTTGACTTATTCTAGAAACTAAAGGAGCCTTGACAAGGTTTAACAATTCCCAACAACAGATATCATTCTAGTTGCAATAGAGCAGTCCATGCTCTCTCCGTGAAAGCATCAGAGCCAAGGTAGAGAGCATTAGATAGAGAATATAAAAATTAATAATAGTGAACTGATAACAAAATTTTAACTGAAATGTTTTGTGTCAAATAAAACTTAGTATTCTTACAGTGATATGAAATTTAAATAATTCATATGGATGTGGAATCTTAAAATAACTAATCTTTGAATTTTATTAAAGACATTTACATTAGAATATAATCTGTTTATTCATTGTTTAGAAAATATAATAATTCATTTTTTTAATTTTTTATAATTTACATACATTTATTTAATAGGAGTAAAAAAAGAACTTATATATTAGAGAAATGGGAATTAGAATTTTAGATTCAGTTATTTGAAAATTTATTGAATTTTGTTTTTATATTAACTTGATTAACATAGTAATGCATCCCACAAAAAATAGAATGCTGGTTAAAATTTCACTAATCAAATAATATATCATCACAAAATAAACAAATTAATTCCAATATTTACAAAATGTTTACAAACTTTTTATTGACAAGGTTACAAGATGTGACCATTGCAGTATAAATGATTTAACTTCATAATACAGAGTTATTAGATGTCTGTATAGCTTCATAGCAAAATTTTTTATTTGGTGATATTAATAATTAAAATTATTATTTAAATTAATGAATTGAAAAAAATTTGGCTTTCTTTATATCATTGCAATCTCTTAATAAATTCTTGACAATAAAAAATTTTCGAATTAGAGCCCTGTATCTAATTTTTACTCATTCTAAAAAATTATAAATATCAGTTTATTTATCATAAATGAAGACCTTTATTATAAAATGCCAAATTATCAAAAGATGACAATTTCACAAAAATTAACCTATTGTTTGGTTGTGGAAATTAGTTTTTTTCTTACAGTTGAGTAATTATCCATGTGATTAGTTTAGAGAAAGAGTACTACTGGGTAACAATATGAATTAAATAAATAAAATATTTTCTTACTAGAACTACACTATAAATAAAAACCAAAACCTTTAAACAATCCAGCAAATCGTTTTTTTAATATCTTAAAAGCACTTTCGAATGCTTTAAGCGATCATCCTCAGTTATCATTTTGAATCGAATGAAGAATTCGAAATTACATAAAACAAAAATTCAAAAAGCGGTTACATACATACACATTAACATTTAACAAGCTTAAATAATTGCAAAAATTATGCAATTATGCAAGTTAATTAAAGTGAAATAAAGAAATAAATTAAAATATATACATCCAGTAAAAATTATCTTAATTAACCTTCCCACTTATATAAACTACGTCAACTCATCATAGAAGGATTTTCATGTCGATGACAATCCATCGGCATCCCTATGATTAATACAGTTTGTGTGCAACAGCGCCTTGTGAATTTCTAGTTTTTCCAGATGTTTCACAGCCTGCTCGGATCTTGTAGCCTTGATGATCAATGCCTGATCCCAGACCTTGATATTCTGTTGATTGGCAAAGGCAGCAAGCACTGTAGAGTCTATGTTTTTATTCACCAAGTGCTTATGTTCAGCAATTCTTTTCTTTAAGTTTCTCATTGTTGTTCCTATGTATACCAAATTGGAGTTAAATCTATGGTCTTTTAACAGTATAGAGTATACTCCTGCCATTGCGTTGCATTCGTAACTGCCTTTATCGTTCCTTAAGAGCCTGTATACGGTGGGATTACGCTTGTAAACTATCTATATATTCTTATTTCTGGTAACTTTCTTAACCATCCCTTTGAGGAACGGTATGTAATTGAGTACGACTCTTTCTTTATGCTGATTCCCTTCCTGCGAGGGGTGTCACTTCTGACAATTCGCAATGAGAGCATCTATTCTTTCTCTATGGTATCCTTGCTGTATCACTATGTTTCAGATATATTCCAATTCGTTGTAAGTGTTGCAGATGCTGGTCAATGCATGTGTGCCCTCCTTATCCATGAATGAAAAACCGCCATTTTTTTATGCTCAGGGTCTGCGGAGTTCCTAGGAATGATGATAGGAAGATAACTGGTCTTCCAGTATATATCTGTTCTGTCTTCCCGCTTATATAGTTTATATAAGCGAGAAGGTTAATTAAGATAATTTTTACTGGATGTATATATTTTATTTTATTTCTTTATTTCACTTTAATTAACTTGCATAATTTTTGCAATTATTTAAGCTTGTTAAATGTTAATGTGTATGTATGTAACCGCTTTTTGAATTTTTGTTTTATGTAATTTCAAATTCTTCGTTCGATTCAAAATGATAACTGAGGATGATTGCTTAAAGCATTCAAAAGCATTTTTAAGATATTAAAAAAACTATTTGCTAGATTGTTGAAAGGTTTTAGTTTTTATTTAACTATATGAATTCCAGATCTATCTCAAAATTTAATGAAACTTTGAATCCAAATGGCATCTGTGTAACTTTTGTATTCTATTTTGCTACCACCTGTTAAAAAACTTTTTTAAAAAATTTTGAGTAGGACTAATTGCATTGTTTTAATCTTTCAGTTATTGATAGCTTATATGATTATCATTATTCTGTTTTAATTTCAGTTCAATTTTTTTAACTGTTTCAAACTTATGCATATTTATAATTTTTGTTTTTTTTTTACTTTTTTGGAAGACTTTACACTACCAAATGAGATATATCCTTTTCATTTAAAGAGTCCAATTTAATATTAAAATAATTATTTTTCATCTAACAATTGTATTTTTGATTTTGTTGAAATAGAACAGAAGTAGTTGGAATTTTCTTAGTTTGACTAAGACATAATTTATGGCACAGTCAAAATTACTTATAATCAACATTTTAAGAGATTTCACATCAGTATGCATTTGCTTGAAATTTCCCGGATAAACAGTATCACACTGAAATATCTGTATACAAAGTTCTTCAACACATCTGCTGAAGAACTTGTATACAACTTTTTAGGAGACACATCTGTTGTTTATTATTTATTTGGTTTGTTGTACCGTGTTTCCCCGAAAATAAGACATCTGCAGAAAATAAGACCTAGAACAGAATTTGCTGAATTGCGAAATATAAGACCTCCCCGTGAAAGTAAGACCTAGCGAAGTTTTTTCAGTCGTAACGGTCATCAACAGATGGTTTGAAAGTGGCCGTTGGCTTTTTGAAAGTACAGCCACTGATTGGTCAGCAGACAATTACGCCACACGGCATGATTTGCATAAGACTATGGCTTGGGAATCACAGATTTGCATAACGTTACGGCTGGTGATGGCTAATTGGTCGGCCGGGAATCATGCCACATGACATATGCATAGTGCTACGGTTCAGTAAGCACTAATTGGTCATCGAGTCCGATGTTGACGCTATAAAAAGGCGACAGTTTGACACATCAGATATACGTCACTCTTGTCTAAGTTCGACTTGGGCATTTTTTTGTTCAATAATAAATGTGAATTCTTTTTCCTGGAAAAAATAAGACACTCCCTGAAAATAAGACCTAGCGTATTTTTCAGAGCAAAAATTAATATAAGACACTGTCTTATTTTCGGGGAAACACGGTAGTTCAAAAAAGTACCAAATTGTAGAGATCTACAGAAGATCTACTGGTCAAATTTCTCTCTAATTTAGCATTTGAAGTTAGACCCTTTCATAGTATGAAGTACCCTACATTTTTTTTTAATTTATAAAAGTTGTATTTTATTATTGATAACAAATTGATTATAAATGCTAAAGCATATGATATAGTTTATATTTTAAATTATTAAGAATTGCTTAAATTTTACAATTTAGATTTTTGGTAAGGGCCTCTTATTTAGAAATTTATAATGAAGAAGTCAGGGACTTATTAGGAAAAGATCAAAATGTGAGATTAGAAGTAAGTATTAATAATAATAATATTTTTAATATAAATTGTATTTAAAGATATATGCATATATTTAAAGATATGTATGATGATTGTTTTTTATAAATATATGTTTTATTTTTGAATTATTTGAATTAATTATTTATTTAGTCACAAAAATTATTTTTAAGAACCTAATTTTAAAATTGAGAGGATAATAGTTATTATTTAAAATTATTAATTGAAAGAACAAATATTAATTTGTTCTTTCAATTAATTAATATTAATTAATTGAAAGAACAAACCCAGAGCCCAACTTTATGATGTATTTTAAGCCTACAGGGTGGGAAAACATGGGTCACAGACTCATTAGACCCCCAATGATGACATGCACGTTAAATATCTTGAGAAGAAAAACAGAAATTTAGCATTTTGTATACATATATTCTGAATTGAAATTAATTGTTAAAGGAGCTGAACATTTTATTGATCATTTAAAAATCATGATTAATATTGATAAATTGTGATAGTTTAGATGATTTTTGTTGTGATTGTATAATACTGACATTTTGTACATTTTTCATTTACTTTTCTTGGGGAAAAATACAAATAATTACTAGAAATATATTTTATTTATTATGTAAATGATGGATAAATTTATTTTATCAATTTAAGTATTTAAAAGACATGAATTGTTTAATTTTAAGTTTTTTTTGTAGGTTTTTATACATTGAAAGTGCAAAATTATCTGTTGTTGAATTTAATCTGTATTGTTCTATGTTGGATGTTATTATAGATTTTAACATTCAACATAAAAACTAAAGGAAAAGCATAACTTTTTTGCTCTAAACATTAATTTGCAGCAATGTTGTTATGGAATTCTTATAGAGAGCATATTTTAAAGCATATATAGCTAATAAATTGTATATTAGGAGATTTAGAACAATGAATTATCAAAATCTAGAGCTTTAGAGCCATTTTAATTTAAATTTTATTAGATAACAAACTGTATGAAATGAAAAGGTTTATTAATATTTTTTTCTTGTTATGAAAAGGTAAAAGAAAGACCAGATGTTGGTGTATATGTGAAAGATCTTTCTGCTTATGTTGTAAATACTGCAGATGAATTGGATCGAATTATGACTTTGGGCAATAAAAACCGTAAGATGTTTTATCTATAATAATATTTTGTTTATAAACATGTAAAATAACAAATCATATATACATATTCAGTACAGTAGAGAGTCAATTATCCAAATCAATTGGGGACTGGGGTTGTTCGGAAAATTGATTTTTTGGATAACAAATTATGTACGAAAAAATACATTATTAATATACGAAGGGTATTTTTTAAATAAGGTCCATTTTTTGATAAGAAGAAAAATACTCTAAATATCGTTAAAATATATATTTTTCCATATTCTGCATACTTTTATCTACTTTTCTACATAATTTTCATTTTTGTTCAAACATTTGTCATACTGCTGAAAAATTTTTAAAATTCCAAATTCAAAGAAATCTGCCGCCTGCCACCAGAAGACATTAGGCCACATTGCTTGTCTTGTATGGCATGGCAGAGTTTTCTCAAGATCACAATAAGTATCAGAATGCACATGAATGCACATAGTTCAAGATCTCATGCAATGATTGTTGTGCTTCTTGGCATAAAATCCACTAACAAAGTCTCTTTCCTGTCCCAAAAGACAGTTACCATAATCTTTCGTGCTGGAATCGAATAACAGATCATATCTTACAGTTGGCAGGCGACTCAATTTTCTTAAACGTTATAAACTTCTACAGCTCAGCACACAGACAGATGATACAGCTGTAAATGGCATCTAAACACGGACAAAGCAGGCTGAAAGCAGATGTTCATGCACACTGCTGCAATCGCACGTCATTCTTACTCTCATTCACAAATGGACCTTATTTAAAAAAAGCCTTCATAGTATATTAGTATATCCCAATAATAGTATATTAATATATCCCATGTTTAAATTTTTCTCCGTTGCATGTCGCTTCACCTTGAATTTTCATTGATGTTAAGCCTAACAAAAATTTCTATAATAATAATCATGGCTATTGTATCGTTAAAAATTATTTCTTTATTTTGTACAAGCAAAATATATATTGAAAAATATAAAAAGAAAAAAAATTATACTTTAGAAGTTAATCTAGTATTAATAATGTTCAATTCAGCACAACACAGTTCCACTGGAACGCTTTCGGTTAACCGATGTTTTGGTTGATCGGCATTTGGATAATTGACATACTACTGTATATACCAAAGATAGATCATAAATTGTTTAGTTTATTTCATTTATAAATTAGAAATTAATTTTTTAGGTGCTGTTGGAGAAACAAATATGAATGCACATAGTTCAAGATCTCATGCAATTTTTACTATAACAGTTGAATGTAGTGAAAAAGGATTGGATGGCCAACAACATGTTAGAATGGGAAAACTACATTTAGTAGATTTAGCAGTTAGTATATATTTATAATGCTTAATTTGAAAATTGTCACATACTCAATTATTAAAATTTACAATATTTCAAAATTTTATTTTAATAGGGCTCAGAACGTCAAAGTAAAACTGGAGCATCAGGATTGCGTCTTAAAGAAGCAACAAAAATTAATCTTTCCCTATCTACTTTAGGTAATGTCATCTCTGCTTTAGTTGATGGAAAGAGTACTCACGTACCATATCGTAATTCTAAACTCACTAGACTACTACAGGATTCTCTTGGTGGAAATTCCAAAACATTAATGGTATTTCAAAAATTTATCAAAATTTAAAATATATGTTTTGTATGATTGTTTTAAACATATAAAACTGAGGACTTTGTGAAATGAATGAGCAAAACTGATTTATTTTGTTAGTGTGCAAATATTGGTCCTGCTGAATATAATTATGATGAAAGCATTAGTACTTTGAGATATGCAAACCGTGCAAAGAATATAAAAAATAAGGCTCGAATTAATGAAGATCCAAAGGATGCTTTGTTACGACAACTTCAAAATGAAATAGAAGAATTGAAAAAGCAGTTAGCAGAAGGTATTTGAAATTGTTTAAATTCTATAAATATTTCTAAAATCTTGTGATTCTATCCTTAAATTTATTTTGTTAAAGGAAGTGATGGAAGTGAATCGTTGGAAGGTAGTAGTGCTGAAGATAGTACTCCTGAAGATGAAGAAGGCATGAAAAAGGATAAGAAGCAAAAGACTAGAAGAAAGAAAGGTATTTTTAATATTTCAATAACATTTTATATAAATTTCCTTAAAATAATTTAAACAGTATAAAATTTATAATTATATATAATATAATGCAATAATAAACTTGTTGAACTCTTATTTTAAACATATTTCCATGCAAATAAGAGTATACTCTTATTTATGAAAATTGCATTTTTGAAACATACCTCATATATAAAAGCACGCTTTGACATGTGTCACTGCAGCAATGGTCCTATAAGCATAGGAGCATTGCTGCTTTATCAGTGTAAATTAAATATACAGTATCTATTCAGTGGCATTTCTGTGGCAACCATTATTAAAAATAAAAAGGCAAAATGAAAAAAATGCTTTCAATACAATAAAAAGTATTTAAAAAATTGAGTTTTTTTCATACTTTTCAAAATATATTGCTGATTCTGTCTCATCTGTAAGAATACTCTTATATGCATGGAAGTAGAGTAATAATTAATTCAATTTTCTATAAGAACTGTTTAGTCCAAAACAGTACTTGTCTTGTCAAAATGATAAGGAAAATGTAAGATTGTAAGTATAAAATTGATCTTTATTTTAAAGGTATAACAAAGATGTATTAATAAAAAATATATATGGTGGAACCTGGTTAACTTGAACTGGGATAAATCGAAATCGTGTTTACTCAAAGTCATTTTGTTTCCCTGTCTAGCATAGGGATCTACATGTTAGTCAAACTGGTTAACTCAAATTTGTTGAAGTGTTTAACTCAAATGGGGTTTTGATACAGTATTTTCATAAACTTCCTGGAATAAAGAGTGGCATGTTTGTGATAAAATAAAAAAAACAGATCAATTCCAGGAGCAAAATATTACAATTAAAAATCCTTACTAAATACTTACAAGTAAATGGATCAGCCATTTCTCAGCAATGTATTTAATCATTCAGTTAAGTGTTTTTGAGTTTCTGAACAACACCATGAAATTAACATTGACACAATCATTCTATTCAATAAGACTCACAGAAATATTGTATGGATAGTTTGTTATGGATCACCAATAAACCAATGCACAAGTTCTTAATTTTTAGCCAAACCGCCATAATTCAAAACTTTTTAACTCAAAGTCTGAATTTTTTCCAACTGATTCAAGTTAACCAGGTTACACTGTATATACTTAGCAGCCATACTAAAGAGGGGATAAATTATCCCGAAACTTGTCTATTGCTATTTAACCGCAGTTTATAAAATAAAGGTGTTTGACAAGGTGAGTATTGCTTTGGATTAATCAGTTCTTATAGGATATGTATTTTATAGTATAAACGTTTGAAGTTTAAACATACAATTTTGAATATTAAATTATCATATATTAAAATTGATGACTGCTTCCCTGAATACATCTTAATTGTTTTATCTTTATGTATTTTTTCTTTATTTAAAAAAAAAATATATGAAATTTAATTTATTATGAAATTACATAAAGTTTTAAATGTAAAAAGAATTTATGATTGTTAAATTTTTATTATTTATATATTTATAAATCCGTAGTCATTGTTACATGTGTGTTTTATGGTTTAGCATTTTATGTGTCAGAGTTAAAAGCATATGTTTATAAAAAGTTTATGTGTAAGAGTTAAAAGCATAGAAAGATTTAAATGAAATTTTTATTTCTTATTTATATTTTATTAATAAATAAATGACAAGTTAAAACTCACAAGAAATTTTCTTACAGGTTTATCAGAGGAGAAAATGAGAGAGATTCAAGCTAAAATTGAATCAGATCGTAAAATACTGGCAGAGAAAAAAGACATAGCAGAAGAAGAAAGAAATCGAATTGCATCAGAATTACAAAAAAGAGAAGATGAATTAAAAAGTGCTCAGTAAGTTAACATACTGTTTGAATATATTAATTGTTCTTTATTATTTTAATTTATACTTGTATAATTTTTGAAAATCTATTATTATAAGTTATTCTTTTTATAGCCCAAAAATAATTCACTTAATTAAGTTTGTAGTTATAGCATCCAATAAAAAGAATAAGCTTTGACAACTTGAAAAAAAACTATTTATTTAAATTGGCATCATACCTCCATCTCTTATTCCTGATTGATTCCATTGCAGTTCACACCCATCCATAATAGGCAAAATTGTAGCTAACTGTATAGCGTACAATGTGCCAGAGCCTTGAATTAATCAATCAATTAATTGTTTATTTAAATTGAATAAATTAACATCATCTTATAACAGTGATTCCCAAATTGTGCACCACGGCTCCCTCACAGGGGCGCCATGAAATATTATAAAATTTTCGTAATTTTATTTCCACTTTCAATTCAATGTGATAAGATATGACATATAACAGACCTGGTGCAAATCATTAACTCAGTAATAAAAGTGGCACATAGAATCACAAAATGTAAAAAGCCTCATACAATAGCAGAAAATATCATTCTACTGGCTGCTATAGATATGGTGAATATTATGATCAGTGAGTCAGCTGGAAAGCAGCTTTCAAAAGTGCCTTGTCCAACAACACCATCAGTTGTAGAATACAGCACATAACGAAGGACCTCCAATATTCAGTTAATTGAAAAAATAAAAGGAAAGGAATTTGGGTTGCAGCTGGATGAGGATTCAGATAACAATAATGATGCTCATTTGATTTGCTATGTACAGTTTATAGATAGTAATAACATTGTAGAAGACTTTTTTTTTGTAAAAGTATCACTGCTGATGCTAAGGCTCATGACTTGTTCAAGATCTTTGATATTTTTATATTTGAAAATAAGAAAATAATTTGGAGTGGACCAAATGCATTGGTTTCTGTACTGATGGTGCTCATTCTATGTCCGGGTATTATGGAGGATTACAAGCATTTTTTCGAAGCAAAGACCCTGATGCACTGTGGACCATTGCATTATTCACAGGGACTCAGATCAAAATATCTGAGTCCTACATTGAACCAGGCCTTAGAATATGTAGTAAATATAGTAAACTTTATAAAAACTTGACCATTAAAGGCAAGATTTTTCAAAAAATTGTGAGGATATGGGATTTGAGCACACGTCTTTGTTGTACTACAATGAGAAAGTACAAAGCATTACCATGAGAGAGCGGTGGCTCTCTTGAGGTAATGTTTTGTCTCGTACATTTGAACTGCAACAGGAAATTTATATTTTTCTTAAAGAGGAAAACCACAAGTATGCCAAAAATTTTGTGAATGAAGATTTTTGGTAAAACTAGCATACTTATGTGATATTTTTGAAAAACTGAATGCTCTGAATCTCTGCCTGCAAGGAAACAACATGCAACTTTTAAAGTGGATTGAGAAAATGTCAGCTTTTATAAAAAAAATTAAAACTATGGAAAAGTAAAATAAATGAAGATGGAGGAAAAGAATGATTCCCCTTTTCAAGGGTTTTTCCCAAAGAATGATTTCCCAAGGGTACCGAAAATCAAAAAAGTTTGGTAACCACTGTCTTATAGCAAGAAACTGGAAAATAGCAATATTATTAAATAATAATTTTGCATATATAAAACTCTCCTATGTAATTATCTAAAACTTAAATATCAATAAATATCTTAGTATTTGCTGAAAAGTACATACAATTTGTCTAAAATAAAAATTGTCATATCATTATTATTACATTCATATTTAATTGTTATTGTATTTGTATAATATTTCAAAAATTAAATCTCAAGTTATAAATCAATGATAGTTATATTACAGTAGAAGTTTGTTAATCTGGTACCTGCTGAATAGTAGCTAATAATCCAGCATGCTAGACTGGAATTTGTTTTGACATGTGATGCACAAAAGATTCCAAGCAATTAATAACATGGTTCATTAGCATTTTTGTAAGCATTTTTAATAAATCTTAACTCAATGAAGTCACAAAATACAGTATATTATCTCCAGACAGATTAAAGAATATGTATAAACAAAGCATGTAGCAGCAAGTGCTGTGTGCCCCTGATTTGTTTACAGAATGTGCAACACTGCCTACAACTTTTGGATTACATATAACTTATTGAATTTTGCAAAAATAGAAAAACCTCTAGTACCTTTAGGGATTTTTGGTAATCTGGAACCATTCTGGTTGTAGATGTTAGATTAGCTAACTTTTAATGTACTGGATTAACTAACTTTTAATAAATCAATTGTCTTTCATATGTTCAACAAAGCTAATAATAGTAAAGATAAATTTTTGTATAGAATAAACTTTTTTAAAAAATTTAATAATTAGAAAAGAAGAGAGAAAATTATTGGGCTGCAATTTGAAAAAATTGTAGACCTATAAATTCTCGCTGTCATCAGTCCATCTGTCTTTCCTTAATCTCAAGAATGGAGTTAGATAGAGTATATTGAAAATTGAGACCAGATATGGAAACCTTAAGAGCAGGATTAACTATATAAGAAATTCTGATGCAAACCAGAAGTCACGTTATTTCAATTCAAAAATTTTTCCCTGAAAGGTGTTAGATAGATGACTGGCATGACTCTATTGTTAAAGGAAAAGCTTGATATATGGGGGCAAGCCACTACTAATTTGAGGTGGAGAGAGCATATTTTTAAATTAAATAAATTAAAACTTACAGCCTGGTATTGTGACACAGTCACAATAAATAATTACTCATTACAATTAATAAAAAATTGTCAATTATGCTTGAATATGATTTTATATATTGCTTTTTATCAGTTTAATTAAGAAGTTGAACTTTAATATATCATTTAATATATGCTTAAATGTTATTTGTGAACAAATACAAGGTATCTGTCTACTACAGATTATTCTAAGATTTATCATTTCTGATAGATATATAATTGTATTTAAAATATAATTTTGGACTTATAATGTAAACTAAGTTCAAGTTTCTTAATCAACCAAACTTAATTAATTGGATTATTTTTAAACTATAATAAGAATGAATTTCTTCCAAAATTTTCTAAATTTTTTAATTAATGTAATTTAATTTTTAATTATTTATATTAATACGACATAAGTGGCTTAATTACTTAATTTTAGAGCAAATTTGTTAGTTTAATCATTCTTATTATAGTACTAAAGGAATCCAGTTAATTAGGCTTAGTTAATTGGTTAGTACATATAGATATTCTATAAATGCTATTCTAGTACATTATACAGTTCAGATAACAAATACTACAATAATTTTTTCAGTGGTAGATTCTTAAATGTACTAATAAGAATAGTTGATAAAAAAACTGTAAAGGTTTTTCATAGACTAAAACTTAACTTTAATCATTTTCCTAACCTCATTTAAGATTATACCATTCCAAATATTTAGATTACTCTTTCCAGATAAAAAGTGTTTTGAAAAATTACATGAAATAATTTAAGTAACTAGGTTTTTTAAATCATATTTTCTTAATGTCAAATACTTTGTTTTTACATAAACAACATATAATAATTTCCTAAGCAATATACTCATAGTAAATAATTTTGCACAGAATATTTTCAATATATTTTGCCAATGTTTTATAATAATGCATAATTTAAAGTATTTTATCTTACATGTAATATGAATTTAATTAGTTCAAGTTTTTATTCAAATTCTATGCAGAACATTATTATGCACATACACTTACTTTCCATATATGAATAATAAAATAACTTTAGATAAATATATTTCCTGAAAAGCATGTTGTATGTTGGATAAATGCTGATTATTTATATATTTTTATATTGAAATGCAACATTTACTATTGCACGTAACCCCCGTATAACACGGCACTTCTATAGCATGAATTCACTCTAACACGGTTGAAGAATTGGGAACATCCCCGTATAACACGATGCTTTTATAGCACGGATCCACTCTAACACGGTTCGGGAATTGGATAAAACCCTCGTGCAACATGAACTGTAATAAAGGGTGCGTTCTTTTATACCTCCGCGTAACTCCGCGTGAGCATTCTAATTGTTTTCGTGGCTAGTTTGAATGCTCTTTCAACAATGGTTAACATTTAATGGTTAAATTTTACAATTTGGGACTATTCTTTTGCCTCTAAAAGCTCATTTTAGAATTATAGATTCCTCCACACGATATTATCGATAGTGCGGGCACCGCCATCTTTCTTTTACTGTTGTTCCTAAATGCCTACAAACAGCAGCGCACTCCCGTTGCAGAGCGACCGCTATTAACGAACGCATCCACAAACTGTTACCAGTTGATGATACTCATGCTGAGATCATCATATAAAATGAATAATACTCTGGTAAATATTTACTTAAATAATAAATCAGTATTTTACCTATGAAAAAAATGAATAATAAATCCGATTTAAATAAGGATTTAACAACATGTTTTTTAATTTTTGGAACCTAACCCCCCTTTTTGCACTAGTTCTTTGTTTTGTATAACACTGATTCGCATAACACGGCAATTTTTTGGAACATAACTCCCGTGTTATATGGGGGTTACCTGTACTATTATTTTCTATTATAAATTTTGTAATACAGGTAACCCCCGTATAACACGGTAGTTACGTTCCAAAAAATTGCTGTGTTATGTGAATCCGTGTTATGCAAAACAAAGAACTAGTACGAAAAGGAGGGTTAGGTTCCAGAAATTAAAAAACATGCTACTATATTTTCATAATTACGATAAATATCTTTATTAAAATTTTCTTAAGTGATACATATTACGGTAATATAAATTAAACAATGTTTTCTTTGTCACCACTAAAAGCACTATTAACCGAGAGCGTTTTATTTTTGGCAAGTTATCGTTATCCTCCAGCATTTTTCTGCATTATTTTCAGATTCATGCTTTACCTTTTGCAAAAAGTGTATGTAATTTTAGATTGCTTGCTTCTAGTTAAAAGGTCTTTATAAATTTCCTTATATGGTGCTAAGCACTTATGGAATAAGGGAAAAACATCTGGCAACACCAGAAGCAGAAGCGTCGAGATCTGGCAACATTGAAACAATTTTCGCGAAGGATCATGTGTATGGAGACGAGAAAAGAAAATTTACACACTGAAGTACTAATAGTTCACAAAAATAATAATTTTCGTGAACTATTAGTACTTAAATATGTAAAAATTTATTACATTTCATGTTGTACGAGAGTTTTACCCATTTCTCAAACCGTGTCAGAGTGAATCTGTGTTATAAAAGCACCGTGTTATACGGGGGATGGTAGCAATTCTCGAACCGTGTTAGAGCGAATCCGTGCTATAGAAGTACCGTGTTATACGGGGGTTACCTGTATTTTATTAAATTCCAACAATTGAAAATTACTTTCTAATAAAATTAACAAACTTTATATGATAGTCAATCAGATTAATAAATTACCAATGAAATAATTTTAATTGAATGAAACAATTTAAAAACGAATAGAAGATAAAATATTGAATTTTGAATGATATAAAGGTTAAATAATTTTCAGATTTGAACACGATAATCTTGTTCAAAAACTTCAACAATTAGAAAAGAAAATCATAGTTGGTGGAGAGAATTTGTTAGAAAAAGCAGAAGAACAAGAAAGACTGTTAGAAGAGAGTGCAAGAGAATTAGAAGAAAGAAAACAAAAGGAGGCTGAATTAAGACAAGCTTTACAGCAGAAAGAAGTAAGTAATATAAGTTTTTTCTTCAAAACCTTTTTTAACTGAAAATTTAAAAGTATTTATTATTTATTTTAAAAATATATTACTTTGATATTTTTTTTATTAATAATTTAGTATGAAAAATTCTATGATCAAACTTGGCTAATTCAAATTTTTGGATAATTAGAAATTTACAAATTCCCCTTGACTATCCTATTACATGTAATGTTAAAATTACCTATTTGATTTGAACTTTTTTTTAATTTTGGATAATTCATAGTGGAAATAGCCTTATAATTTGAAAATTACTAGAGTTTTACCACTGCAGAATATCTGTTTTCTTGGAATTTTTGTCTGCCCTGCAGTCATCGAACCGTTTTAAATTCGAATTTGTTATTGCATATTGGTTCGATTATAGAACGATTGTAAACGTTCCAGAAAATTGATCAAATTGAAAATAGTTTGTTTAATTCTCGGCAATTCTCTTCAGCGGTAGGTGTTATATAACAATTACTATGGTTATTGAAATATTGAATGTAAATGGGGTTTGCTTGCAAAACCTCCGCGGACGAAGTCGCGGGTAACAGCTAGTTTAACATATGAGAAAAAACTTTTATATAATATTTAATAAATATACATGTTGAATTAGATTTCTCCATGTTGAATTAGATTTCTCCATACATGTTGAATTAGATTCTCCATTTGTGTCCTAATTTGTGGTTTATTAATAAGCTATACCCAAAAATTTTCATAACATGTTTTTGAATTCTGCTATACAAGGGCATATGTCTTGGCAGCCATTAAGATACTACTAGTTGTTAGTGTAGGTCTGCAATTTTTAGTTTTTCATTGACAACATAAAACCAGTTCTGATAGATATTGTGCATTGGTTGGCTACCATAATAGCCAGAGAGTTCTTTATAAGTGATTTAAAGCTGTATGCAATACACACAAAATCGTTCCATTGAGATTGTTCATATATTCAATCATTCCAGTTACATTCATTTCCATGTGATGAAAATTTAAGAATGGGTAAACAGTAGTGTTGCAACGAATAATATTAATATTCGGTATTCAGCCTGAGGCTGAATACCGAATATTTGGCCAGGAGTGTGGCCAAATAGCCGAATATTCGGCCAAACTATTCGGCTTGATTAACGCATGTACGAAAATTGGCGCGCAAATCGCATTATGGCAAGGATCCTGCTCTCCATTGGTCCGCTATCACTACGCTTCCCCAATTGCATTAATTCTTGACAGTTGTAGCAGACAGACAAGAGCGTCATGGCAGTATGTGATAAATGATGATATGAAATGTGGATAACAATGAAATGACCTACACATGTAAATAACAGAAAAAGAACAGAGGACTGCGAAGTGAAAATATGAAAATAAATATGAAATTGAGTTGATAACATAATCGAACAAGTTGAGGCAGCTTATTGGCACGAAATTTGCGGCCATCAATGCCAAACAACTATTGTCATAGACTTTGGAAAGCTAAATGCTTGTAATGAAAGTCACTTAACATGCACGGGCGAAAGCCTGGGGCTGTTTGGGCTACCAAGCTGTCTCGAATCTGTGAAATCATAACTCTGACTTATACCGACGTCTGGTCTGTCTCTTTTCTCCGTTATCACCAGGCTGTGAGTCATGTAATTGTAAAATGGGAAATCTATGATGAAAAAGTGATGAATCGAAAGTATTGTGAGCGCATATTATGATGTATGCATAGGCATACGTGGACATACGTGGACTAGAGCAATAGAGGAAAGAGAAAGGGAAGAGCAAAGACGAGCACTTAGAAAGAAGGATAGACAGGGTCAGACCCTCAGATGTGCGAGGATTCTCCAACGATAGGCATGTACGTGTGCTGATCTTTGTAATTATAAATTGTTAATACATGTGACTAATATTATTTTCTTTTTTATTTTGTGCATGTTACAAGTTATAAATAAATATAAACAAACAACACTAACCTGATAACATTAAATCTAAATACCAAAATTATTAATTTACTGTGTTTTTGTTATTTCTTACTCCTGTTTTTAGGTATTCGGCCGAATACCGAATAGTAACCGAATATTCATTACATCACTAGTAAACAGCCATGCATGTACTGTACATCCAGCTAGATAAATAACTTTGCTATCATTAGACACACAAATCCGTACAAAATGATTACTTGCAGATAGGGTTTGTGATGGCTCTATATTTGTCTTAAGGACACAAATGTTTTGTGATAATTTATATTTATTTATTTATTTTTATTATCTAAGTAAAGATTTCCTGAAAGTTGAATTGTTTTGACTACAATGCACTTTTGCTAATCTGACCTCTCAATTATCTGGTATACTCCTATTATATTTTTGTCTCTTATTCATGTTTTTTGTAAATACATACAATAAATTTGAAACATTAAATTTAATCAAGAATTAAACTTTCAGTTACTATTATTATGGTAACAAAAACAGTATGGCTCCAAAAAGAATCAGTACTGAGAAGAACAAGTAATATTTATTGCCTGTTGGCAGACTTTAGGTCTATACACTCTCTAATCTGGAATCTCACTGCACAAGGAACTATCAGATTGGCAAAAGTTGGTCTAAGTATAAAGCTGTCATTGATTAATATTCCTAATTTAAATATCTAAATGTTTTAATTTCTTTTAAATAACTTACAAATCATATAAAGTGCATTTTAAAATCTTTTGTAAAGCTTTTAAAATGAATCTAATACATTATGAAAATATCAGTAATTAAAATTTATAAAACTTTACTTCTAGCAATATAATTTCTTGAAAAATATTATTGATTACAATACATTGAAAACTTTTCTTATATTTTGAAAATTTTAAATTACATAATTTTTTAAATTATTTTCACATCAAATCTTTATAATAATAATAAAGAAATATTTTATCTTAGAACAAAAGTGATGCATTTTATTGTTAAATGACATATGCATAAATATAATATAATATATATGATATAATATATATAATATTAGATGTTTAAACAATGATATTGAATCTGTTCTGAAATTAATCAATTTCAATATTTTTAATAGCATAGTTCTACTTTAATTTATATCTTTATTATATTTGATGAACTAGGATACTTTGTTACATGTAAATAAATCAATATGAAAAATTTTGAAAATAATTTAAGAACATAGAAATAAACTATATACATTTTGTGTATCTGTTCTTAATGTTATATTGAAAAGTTTTTCAAAAAAGTTGATTTATTAAAAGTCTTGTGTGTCTTCTGTTAATACTATAATATGTAAATTTTATAAATTTGTAACATTTGTTAAAGCAATTACTTATAATCTATAATAATTATTGTGGTCTTTATAATAGGCTGAACGCTTAGATATTGAAGAAAAATATTCCAATTTACAAGAGGAAGCTGCAGGAAAAACAAAAAAGCTTAAGAAAGTTTGGACAATGTTAATGAGTGCTAAAGCAGAAATGGCTGATATGCAGCAGGAACACCAAAGAGAAGTTGAAGGCTTATTAGAAAATATTCGTCAGTTAAATCGAGAATTAAGACTCACTTCTCTTATAATTGATTCTTTCATTCCAACAGAATATCAAGTAAATATTTTCTGTTGTAATAAACTTGTTCATTATTTAGCATATGTAATTTAATTTTTCATTTAAAGGACATGCTAGAGCAATCAGTTCATTGGAATGAAGATATTGGTGAGTGGCAGCTAAAGTGTGTAGCATATACTGGCAATAATATGAGAAAACAGACAGTGTCTTCTGAGAAAGATAGGAATCGTGAGGTAATATTTTAATTAGTGTATATATTACTTATAATGTAATAGTATTAAGCAGGGCTGCCAACTCCTGATAATTTTAATAGGCTGACTCTGACTCTGGCAAAATTAAATGCCAAATCATTTTATGGGGGACAGAGGCACTCAAGGAGGTTACCCTACTCTGAACTCTAAAAGGAGTCCCGGGCATTTATCCAAATACTTTTAAAGTTAGTATTTTTGATATTTAACTTACATTAATATTTATTTGTATAAAAAAATTAATTTTTAACAAATATATAATAAGAGGAGAAAGGGGGAGATAAAATTCTACATCTACATATATTCGACAGCATTTGCACTTCAATTTCACCCTTCCAGAAAAGTTAGTACAACTGAAAAGTGTGCAATCTAGCTACTTCAGCCCCTTGTTCAGAAAAGAAAAATATATACTCTGATCAATTAGTCTGGCTCTTTCAGAAAAATAGAGTACTTATTTAGAGTGGGAATAATAAAGGAATGAATCAAAAATATTCAAATTCATTTGGGTCAAAATAATTTAACTACTAAACACACACTACAAAGAAAACTATTGATACATATTTTATTTTAAACTATTGTATTTTGTATTTAAAATAAATGAATTATAAAAAAGTACAAAAACATTTTAAAAAATTATTAAATATAAAATAAATTTTCTTTCATTTAAATAAAAAAAAACTAAATTAAATTTAAAATACTGGAGTTGGAGTCAACACATTTTCCCGATTCTGACTCCTCTGGCCAGAAATTCCTCTCGACTCTGACTCCACAGTCCTGGTATTAAGTAATATGGTGAGTTATACTAAAACAAATTCTCATTAGATCATAAAAGTTTTTATAAATGTAATTTTTTTATATTGGTTGTTTTGAACAATTTTGAACTTTTTAATATAAACATTATTTTTAACATTCATTTTATGTGATGTTAAAAATTACATGTAATATAAAAAGCAATACATTAGGCAGGCACTTTGACATAATGTTAGATGTCATGTGATTGATTTTGGTCGACAGTCATCAGTTTTCTAGCTTTCTGACTTCTTCAATGATGGATGTTACAAAGAATGTATGAGCATTTTACTTATCCATATAGGATATACTTTTGTTTACAAAATAATGACTTACATTGATAGTGTGAGTAGCCAAGGACGCAGAGCTCAATCCACGCCACTTACGGGCACTAGTCGGTAAGACCAGTTCTCTAGGATGCAGATCACTAGATCTGATCTTAAATATTTCATAGGAGAGCGATAACCGCTAGTTGATCCGAACTGCAAAGTTCAGACGTTCGTCAGGATTCCTTGACACCAGTTAATCGATCTTATTATACGCGGATTAACACGCGTTTGCGATCTGATTCGGGATAAATTGAGGAGACATTCTTATAAAATAAAACAAGAGTAAATTTAATAAATCTCAAACAAACGAATATAAAAAATTCGATTACAACCATTTAGCGACAAACTAGAGGTTACGACTTAACTTATGCTAATACGCAATCGAGAGAGAGAGCTCACAAAATGATTCTAAACATACGACCTGTTAGTTGTCGTCGTCTTCGTTTCTGTTGGTAGAGGACACCTTGTAGATAGGGTTCATATTACTTTCGTAAGGGAGATCAATTCGTGCACAAAATATAAAAATATCACTTCTTCTAAGTGTAGACTCGGGACTTAGTCTATCGGACTCCGTTATGGGCGTTGGCCATCAGGAGGGAAACGTATGTGGAGTTTGTATGCTTCGGATCTGTCGAAGAACTCCTCGAATTCGGACTAGATTTCCCTTATATCTCCTAAATTTCGACCAATCAACGTCCAGTAACTCTTTCGTGAGAACGGACGAAAGGGGGATGAATGAGGGGTAAGCATTTCCCATCGGAGCGAGATTTTTTACCAGATACGGAAAAACAGAGGATGTTCTCTTCGTGAAAGGAAATAACATCGGTTATCAGGTTTTTCCCACATCTAAAACAATATTTTTTTCACAAATCGAAATAATATTTTGTGTCGATATTTAAACATATTTAATAAAAATTCACAAATTAGACCCAGGGCCTTTCGGATCTCACAATAGAAACAATTAACAGTTAAGTACAGAACTGAGTATAGCTCTATTTGCTTTGATTACTTTTTTTTTTAACTCAGATATCATCATATTTTTTAAGATATTTTTTAACTCAGCAAAAATCATCACTTCCCTTTTATAACTGATCTGTATGACTGTAGTATTTTTAAATGGTTAGGGTTATCAGCCATTCTTTGTTACAAAGGACAATCTTTTATTTTAGTCAAACTGTCCTTGTCTTTTATTGAAATGAAAAAGGACACAGTTTTCTATCATTTTCATTTTTAATGCATGCATTTTGTAATTGCGTAATGGATTTTTACATGGACATATTCCTATCCTTATATATTGATTCATATCCATTCTTGTAGAAAGCTATAGCTTGCCATTAAATACTTTAAATTCTAAACTAAATGAAAATATGCAAATACAGGGTGTCCCAAAAAAATGTATACACACTTTAACAGCTGATAGCTCAATTGATGTTTATTTATTTCCAGCTTAAACCCATTAGAATTAATAATGGAAGTCAGACTAAGCTTTGAACAAAGGAAATTCATTCTAAATTGCTACTGGAAATGTGAAAATGCAGTTTAAGTGCAAAGACAGTTTAGGAGGGAGTTTCAAACAGATCCACCAATGTGACTACCATCACTCAAATTAGAGATAAGTTAGAACAGCAATTCTCAATCCGAGGTACGTGTACCCCCAGGAGTACGCGATAAGTTGTTTAGGGATACAGAAAGAAGTTAGTTATTATGGCAGAAAAAATAATATATTATGTATCACAAATTAATATTATTAAAAAATTATTAGGTAAAAAATGTTCCTTGCAATAATCACAAACTTTATTATACATTTCAAAATGCAAAAATAGAAATAAAAACTTATGCTGCTGATTGTACAATGCAACAATTGCAACATTTATTGATCTGTTGATCAATAAATGTTGCGCAGTCAGTCAATGATAGTGGGATACCATTATGTGTGATTGATGGGGTATGTTACCGTTATTATTTTTATCTCTTAACAATATCCCCACGTGTTGTTTCAAAAAAGTATTTTTTTTTTTTATAAAAAGTATTTTTTATTGTTAGCAAGGAAAAGGATATAGCTAGTTTCTCCAGATTTTCTCTACAAGCAGTAATTTTTTTCATTATTTATTCAGTATTTTTATTAATTTTTTATTGACAAGACTTTGTCAATAAAAAATTAATGTTTTGAAACCGTGTCGTATCTATTATATTTGTTCTCTAAGTGCAATATAGCACAATAGCAATCACTTGGCACAATTCACTTCTTTATTTCAATTGTGCCAAGTGATCGTTATTGCGCTATATTGCGCTTAGAGAACAAAAGACTACGTCTTGTTTGTAAAATCATACTGCCTGCTGTGTTACCAGCTTAGAGATATGAAGGAGTACATGTCAGAAGTTGCAATTTGGCACAGAGTATTAGGTGCCCAAATCACACACACATAAAAAAAATCAGACTTGTAGGTACTTGGGACCGAGTACCTACAAGTCTGATTTAAATAAAATTCAAAGTGGTGACACTCTACAAACAGGTAGTGCGAGATTTGTGCATGTGTTGCTGGTTGGGAAGTTGGAAATGCCACAGGGGTTATGCTAATGAAAAAAGGTTGGGAACCGCTGAGTTAGAAGATGGGGCACTCCCACACTACCATTATGATGTTATATCCTACCTTGATGCGATCTTGCCAAACAGGTGGATTGGACAAAGGGGTTTCATATAATAAAAGGGGTTTCATTCACCAGACCTCATATCACTTAGACTTTTTTTATGGGGATACTTAAAAGACAAAGTCTATGCTATGAAACCTGCAACAGTTGCTGAATTGAGAGCAGCCATTGAACAAGAATGTGCACAAATACCAAATGAAATGTTTTATGATGTTTGCGATTCCATTGCTTTGCATTGTCAGCAGTGCGTAGACCAGAACAGACGTCAGTTTGAAAACAGGCATTGACAAAACAATTAAATAATGTCTATAGATTCTATTATAATTTGAAAATAAAACATATTTTAATAAACACCAACTTTATAATTATTTAAAGAGTGTAAACATTTTTTTGGGACACCCTGTATTTATAGTCAATGTATAAACTAATTTTTAAATCAAAATCTAAAAATATAAAGAATGTTTAGTTATTAACTAAAAGTTATTCAATTTTACTTCTTTGAGTAAAATGGGGAGATGCAGCAATGTAGTAATTAAACATTTTAATTGTTCTTTAATGCAGACGGAAATGTAGTAACCTTATACATGGTATACAGGTATACAATCACTGTTCTCAGACACAGATTGCCAGACTGGGCAATAAAGTACCAATTGGACTACTGTTTCTATAAATTAGAAAGTTTTTATGTTATAACTTGTTTGTAATTCATCTTTTCTTCCAGTTTAATCTAAAATTATTTAATTAAAATTATGATTATCATCATCATTTATTTATTGTACATTGGGAATTACATCCCTATTACAAGGGGGGTTGCATTTACATGTTTATTTGTTTTTTACTTTACAATACTTTTTGATTTTAAATTTATTTCATTTCACTAATAATAGCATATTATAATATTCCATTTGTGTTAATTTATTTTGTTTTTGTAAATATCAATTATTTTACAAAAATAGTTATAAATTTTATATAAATCTTTTTTACTCATTTTGTTAAAGTTTTTTAACAATTCTATTAGCGAGTTGCATTTATAAGTTCGAGTTATATCATAGTGTTCACGAATGTCCCTTAATTTTGGACATTAAAATTATAATTATTAAATTTAATACGAGATGGCACCTAATGCCTTCCTCTAGGGTGAAATTCATTAGTAATTTATAATTATTATTGCCAAATTATAGCTCGATGATATACAGCAGTTGTTGGTGTGTTATTGATTCATCTTTGACTTATAATTTATGTAATAAATACTGTCTATTCTTTAATATAATTATGAAATGGTCAAAAAGTGGGAAATTTTTTGGGACAGTTTTAAAAAGGAATGGTACATTAAAAACAGGATTGATTGTCTTGATTGATTTAGGACATTAGGCCACTTTACACATATTATAAAATACAGTTAAATTAAATAAAATTGAAGGGAATAAAAAGATAAAATCTAATTCAACATGTATATTTATTAAATATTATATAAAAGTTTTTTCTCATATGTTAAACTAGCTGTTACCCGCGACTTCATCCGCGGAGGTTTTGCAAGCAAACCCCATTTACATTCAATATTTCAATAACCATAGTAATTGTTATATAACACCTACCGCTGAAGAGAATTGCCGAAAATCAAACGAACTATTTTCAATTTGATCAATTTTCTGAAACGTTTACAATCGTTCTATAATCGAACCAATACGCAATAACAAATTCGAATTTAAAACAGTTCGAACATTTTTAAAATTGAAATATATAAAAATATTTAAACAATGTCTGAAATGTGATCAATTTAATACACCTAAGTACTCGATGAAGACTAAACGTAGTTGAAAACAAAAAATCGCATCTAAAATAGTACAGTAGAAGCCATTCTTCCGGTTAAGCTTAATCCTCTCCCTCTCCCCCCGCGGGAGAATTTAGAAAAATCCCTTCTTAGTGTCCATTCTCATGGCATACCCTACTAAAACGCATACAATACGAATACGAAATAACAAATTCGAATTTAAAACGGTTCGAACATTTTTAAAATCGAAATGGATAAAAATATTTATAACAATGTCTGAAATGTTATTAATTTAATACACCTAAGTACTCGATGAAAACTATATTCTCTCCCTCACCCCCCGCGGGGAAATTTCTAAAAATCCCTTCTTAGTGTACATTCTCATGGCATACCCTACTACAACGCAGATAAAAACAAAAAATCGCATCTAAAATAGCGCAGTAGAAGCCGTTCTTCCGGTTAAGCCTTAATGCTATCCCTCACCTCCCCGCGGGGGAATTTCTAAAAATCCCTTCTTAGTGTGCGTTGCCATGGCGTACCCTACTAAAACGCAGATAAAAACAAAAAATCACATCTAAAATAGTACAGTAGAAGCCATTTTTCCAGTTGACCCTTAATGCTCTCCCTCTCCCCCCACTTGGGAATTTCGAAAAATCCCTTCTTAGTGTGCGTTTTCATGACGTACCCTAACTGTGTACCAAATTTCACCTCTCTAGGTCCAGCGGTTTGCTCTGGGCGATGATGAATCAGTGAGTCATTCAGTCAGTCAGGACAAGCAATTTTATATATATAGATGAAGTGATTTTAATGTGATAAATAAATAACTTCATATAACAATATTACATTTAAAGTTGATAAGGTGATCTAAATAATGCGATTACTCAGCTTAATTAATACACCTTTAAAAGTGGTGAAATTGAAATAACACTAATGTTTTCAGTTGAGTTAATGGACCATTCTCAGGTATAAAAAATTAAAAGAATGTCAGTATCAGAAGAAAGGAAGGTAGAATAGACATCAATAGAGTAAACAAGCAGGGTACGTTGACTGCAATGGCTACAGTTGATGTGAAATGTAACAGTTTCCAAGGCAGGGGAGTCTTTGTCCCTGCTGTTTATACATATATTGGTAACAGAGTGCCTTTACAATCTCCGTAATGGTGGTGTGGGAAGGGCAAAAGACCTGTCTGACTGTATCTCCTTAGCTTTTCACATCAACCCTTGCCATTGTAGTCCACTTTCTGTACTTGATTACTCTATTGGCATCTATCCCATCTTCCTTCCTTTTTACACTAGCATTTCACTTTCAAATATTTACACCTGAAGGTGGCTCATCAACTGGGCCAATAATATTAGTGCTATTTAAATTTTATCACTATGAAAGATGCATTAATTAAACTAAAGTTTATTAAAAATACAAGCATAGACAATCCAAATGGTATATTCTATTGTCCTTTTTTACACTGACACTGAGACTTAACTTTTTATTAAAGCTTCAATAAATTATGTGAAAGACAAAATGTCCACAAGTGATTGAATAATAATATTAAAAAGTATATTACATTTTTAAAACATATATAATAAAATACATTGAGGTTTGACCTCAGTGTGTTTTAGATGAGTTCCTAGTGTAAAAAAGGACAATAAATGATGTTATTTGGATTGTCTGCATTTGTATTTTTAATGTTCAAATTATAATTTTTTATAAATTAGGTGTAATTTTTATTTAATTGCTTTTAACTAGTGGAAAAAGATTTGTTTTCATATAAATACTGATACTGGACTCATCAACTTTTAATTCAGTTATTAATGTTAAAATAAAAGAACAGACTATAAGTTTTATAATAATATAGAATATATGAAAATAAACTCAAACTAACTGAAAGTGTAAATGAAAAAATTTAGATGTTTTCTGGCATTTGAATGACCTTTCATATATTTAAATACTGTATTTAATTATCATTTTAGTACTTTATAATGGACTTTATAATGGACTATAAGCAAAATAATATTTTGCTTATAGCAAAATATTATGAGAAAGAAAAGTCCATTATAATTAATACTTTTTAATTGCATTAATATTTAATGTAAGTTCTTATCAGTATTAATTTTGTATGAATTAATTGATTCAATACTCTATTATGATTCCCTAACTTTGGTATGATAGGCTCTATCATTATAACATGTTTGTATATTATCATTAATATTTAAACTGCAAGTATAATATTCTTCAGAGACTGTTGACATTTTTATCTTATTTTGCTATTGCTGCTCTATATTCTGTTATTTTTCTTACAAATATATATAGAGAGCAGCAATAGCAAAATAAGATAAATATATCAACGGGCTCTGAAGAATAACCATTATAAATAAAATAATATATAATATATTTATAGTATATAATATAGATAAAATAATATATATAAACAAAAAAACTAATATGATAAAATTTTGTATAATTTTATAAATTATACTGAATAATAATTAATTTATAAGTTGATTTATTGATTTTCTTCACTAATAATTCCAGCACATTTATTTTAAGTTTATTAAACTTTATTAATTTTTACTGTAATAAAGTTGGGAAAGATTTTTTTTTTATTTTGAAAATATTATTATATCTAACTAAATTGATCTAACTTAATCTAAATAATTAATTGAATTTTTATATTAGTATATTCTCTCCAATAATTCAATATTTATCTTATTTATCTGCTATATTTTTGCTATCATGTATTAAAAAATTATAATCTACATATTTTATATTTATTTCAGCTCATTTAAATTAAATTATTCTGTACATATGTTTATTTTATAGTTGTTTCAGTTTTTAACTAAAAAAAAAAGCTGTTCACAATTTTAAGAATTTCATTAAATCAATTATTCAAAATTTTATTTGAATTTTCTTAAATTACTTTTTATTAATATCTGTTTTATTGAATGATACATAGATAGAATATTGAGGCTTGCATAAATTTGCCAAGAATCTTTAAAATTAAATTTACATGTAAATTTAATATTAACTGATCTACATTTCTTTTTATATTAAATTTTGATCTTTTTGTAAAAACTGACTGTTTTTGAAATAAAATTCCAAAATTATATGAAATAAACATTAAATTTTTATTGATTTATATTTTTTTCTTATTTATTCATTTTAATCTTATTTTTAATTTCAATATTTTTATATAAATGTTTTGTTATTGTTTAGATATTTTGTTATCCTTAATTATATTTTTAGAATTTCTTAAAATTTCTTGAATTATGTTTGTGTTAGATTTTTGTCAATTCTTCAAATTTTTATTCAATTCTATTCTGAAAAAATGTAAATTTAATAAAATTTAAATAATTAAATAAATTTTATTTCTTTTGTTAATAGATAATTGCTTAGTTTTGTGTAGTTGTATTATTTTTCTCTGATAAAATGTTTCATCTTATTTATTTCATACGTAATTTTTATAACTGTGTTCTTCAATTATATATTTTATTTAATATTTATTTTTCATTTTTTAATACATTTAAACAAATATATTAAATTTTAAACATAATTGGTTGAAACTAACATTCAATTTACATCATCAGATATAGAATTTTTTAAATATGTTTTTTCTGTAATGTAAATCATAACTGATGTTTTTCTAGAGCAATGAATTGGATCTTTCAAATGTCTATTTGGCATATACGCCCGAAGGAGCACAGTTAGCTTTAAGACAGAAATCTGGACGGGGAAAATCTGGAAGGTCAAGATCTTCAGCCAGACCTAAATCATCTAGAAAGTAAGTAAATTCAAGTTTGTAAAATTATGTATATGTTAATACTTGTTAAATATAATAATGAATTGATTATGTGGAATAATGTCAAGTTATTTATATAATTATGAAACAATATTTTCCACATAACTTCAGGCAAAATTTCAATAGAATATAATTATAAAAGCTAAGAATCTGATGATGGTTATTTTTTTCATAATCCAATACCAAAATGTAAAGAAATATTTTTTATTTTGTAAAATTACATCAATTTGAATTTCAAGTACAGTAGTAGTATATTGCTCCAAGTATGATTATAGTAATTAAAAAATAGAGTTAGACAAATATAAACATATAATATTTGTAATAAATAAATTTGTCTATTTAATATTACTTATTTAATTTTATTTTAGGATATATTCTTTCACGAAATAAATATATAACCAATAAAATAACTTTTATTTAAAATAATAACAGAGTTTAATGAAAATAATTTTATTTTGTTTTTTCAATACAGAATGCGAAACAGTGCAGACATGGATTTGCTGTTGCAACAGTTTGACCACTAATTTAAATAGAGATATAAAGACATTTTGTTGCCATAAATTGTAATGTATTGTGATAAACATTCTAATAGTTATACTCAATTTGGATATCAAAGCTTCTAGTCACTGCATTTATATCTTTATACATAAGTATTATTTATTTTTTCATTTTACAAAATAAATAATTCAATTTAAAAAAGTAATGTATTTTTTATTTATTAAAGTAAGTATTGAATAAAAGATGTTTAAGAATTATTTCATAAATGCATTCAATTTAGTTTTATCATTATCTTATTTGAATATTTATTGAAGAGGAAAAATAAAATTTATTATTCAAATTTGTATAATTCTCCAAAGTATATCGAACAAAGTAAGATTATACAGATATGTTTTCCTTCTTATGAATGTTTAATAATGTTCTTGAACTCTATTAAATGTCATTATTTGTTAAGAATTAATTTTTACATTTTAATAATTTGAAATATCAGACAATAATAATACTTTTTTATAATTTCATATATAATTTAACTTCTAAAAAAAAAGAAATTATCAATATTTGTTTTTTATATACCTCACTCAAAAAACTTACAATTAAAAAATGTTTTTTTTTTATTTCATTCACTATGTAACATGTTTCAGCTTCTAGTAACAAACCCCTTTGGACTATAGTAAATGAGACAAAATATAAATATACTGTAATTTCACAATAAAATATATTTTCAAAAAGAATTAAAATAATTATAATGTAAAATTTTTTAAATCAATATCATACAATCAATTTTCAATATTTAGCTACTGTATATGTGTCATCTGCTTTAACATTTCTTTATATTGGGATATCTTACAGAATCACATTGGCTGCCAAAGGCAAACTCAAATTACATTAATTTTTAAGAATATTTTCTCATAATTCATTCACATTTATACAGTTTACATTTATTCTATTAGTTTGATTATTTTTAAAATATTTTAAACATATTTTTTCCTTTTGTGATGATTTTAACAGTACTTTTATCTATAGTATAACTGTGATTTCTAATTTGTAAATATACAGCTGAGTTACTATTTTTTAAATGATCTGAGGCTAAATACTCTTTTGACCTAATTATAATAATTGGCCTGTAATCATTTCATCTATATAATATTAATAAAACTTGTTAGAATCCATATAATTAATTAAACTTCTTAATAGCTACTATTTTAATTTGTGATAAATTTTAAGGACTTACACCATATAATTAAATTTATAAATAACATGAAAAATATATAGGTTATTAATTTCAATATTTTTAATATTTTTTTTTTTATTAAATTTTAACTTTTTTATTAAATCATTATCTAAATTAGATATTAATTATAGCTGCAATACTTTGTTTTGTTTTTTGCTATTGATCAGTCTATTTACTATTTAAAGTTTTTAAAACATGCATTTTAAATGCATTATATTTTATATATTTAGGTTCATATGAATAAAAGTTTATTGTTTTAAACACGTTACAAAGTTGTAATATCTTTGAAATTCAATTTTATTATTATTTCTATTATTGTAATATCTAAATAAATAATAATATTATTAAGCTGTATTTTATAATCAAATGTAATATCAGGGTATATCAATTTTGCTAACTGTACAATATTTTTAGGATTAGTTATACTGTTATAATAAAATAGGAAGTAATCAATATAATGGCACAAAATACCATTCCATTTATTTTGTACAGTTTTTTTTAATCAGTCAATGTTATGAACACTTTAGCCAGTTTAGGACCAACAACAGATCCATAAAAGTTTTCCATAGTCAGTAGTTATAGAATACAATGGGTGATGGGTTAATGAACATAATCCATTCCAAGACTTTGTTCGTTAACCGATTATCGATTTACCATAGGTTTTTATGGGAATTTGATGAATTCGTTATGAAGACCCCAAAAAATAAAAAATAATACTTTCTTACTATGTTTGTTTATATATGTAATAATAAAAATACATATATACAGTCTTGCATTTTTATTAGTCATGCTTTTTCCGTTTGTGGGGGTTAAAGAATCTGCCTAATGTCGATTGCTTTTCTCTCTTCTTCAGGATTTTTCAGAAGTAATTAATAGCATTGTAATTGTAGAGATCCCCAAGCTTATTAACCTCACCCTGGTTTGGATGCCATTCTAAGACCGTTGTTCTGTTCTGACATCCTCCCACTTCTTCAAAAGATAAATGCCGATATCTGCTATTTAAAAAGTATAATCTTTTTCAGAAGAAAACATATCTCAGCGAGTTTCTTGGTATTCTTCATTCAAGAGTTCTTGGTGTTCTTCTGTAGTCAGATCAGTTTCAGGTTCCATTATAAGCTCTTCATTGTTCTTTATTTCTCAGATGTGATTTTTGTTACTCCTTTAGCTGCGTGAGTCTTCTTGATTTTAAACTGTATCTTTCTTAGATAAGATTGAACTGCGGCCTACTGTAGATCTGTTCAAACCATAATACCCAGCAACATCAGACATCTGCTCACTCCCTTTGCTATTATACTTTCACCTCTCGAAAATAAAAACCGACGCAAAACTTAACGAGTGCCCGCCTGACAGTCTCACGAATACTATAAAAGAATTGTTTCTGTCAGAAAAAATAAAAGGCTGGAATTACAAGGGAGAGTTTCAAAGTTTGGAGGAATACTATCTGATTAGTATATACCGGGTTGAGCGTCGATGTCAACGTCTCCTGCGCTCCGAAAAGTTTCGAATTCTTGCCTGAAGACAAGGGAAGACCAATCGGTATTCATTATTTTATGTGTCTTCTTCTTATGTTTATTCTGTGAGGTGTTTGTTGTCCGAATATAAAAATTTTTCGCGAAAGTGTTTGTTAACAGATCACCCACTGTATAAGATAATATGAAACTACAATTATGACAGGAGCTTTTACAGAAAGTCCAGCCCAAGAGTCCTAACAATACAGTATAATACTGTACAGTACTTCCCATAGTGAGCCAGGGGTGGATAAAAACCATTGAACATTGTCACGGGTTTGCGCCTCACCAATAGGCTGTCTGCGTGGAGTTTTCTTTATGTGTCTAACATCTAAATAGGAGCCATTTTCCCCATAGAAAGTCATCCCGAAAGGTATCCTCCTTGTCAGATCATCCATATTCAGAGGCGATCCCGATGATTGTGAGGCCCTAGGCGAAATTTATTTTTGAAGCTCATTAAAAATGTGGCGGATGTAGAGCATAGATTTATTTATGTGTATAATAATATGAATATTTTAAATATAGAAACAGACAGCAAAAAGTGTTGACGTAATAATAGTTTTACAATGAATTGAAAAATTCAATGTGTATAGAAATTCATCTGCAAGACTGCTCTCCTGCTTTTAGCAGGGCTGAATTCGTCAATTACAAAAAAAAAAGTCCGATTTTGTAGGAATATCTCTCGATAGACAATATCGAAAGTCTCTCTTGACACATTGTTGATTGGAGGTAATTCTAGATAAATTTTAATTTTGAAAGTGATCGTTCTGCAGATGCAACAGATACCCGTATAATTATATTTCAATAATTACTAATTTGATGATTTAAATATAAAATACCATTGCTTTTTACAAGAATATTATAGAAAACAGTAGCGCATCAATATAAAAAGACAAGCAAGCGTTTCATGGTCAAGGGTGTAATGTTACATATTTCAATTACGTTTACGATTAAAATTTATGGAATTTTTTATTCGATCTCAAGGGAAGAGCAAGTGCCCCGTTTGTCCCCCTCATGCTGTTCGATATTTTCTTAAGATTTGGTATCATTCTACTTTGTTAAACGTTATACTACGTTCGCACACAATTCACGACTCACTTCAATCTCGATTTGCCTACAATCTGGATTGTAACTGTCACCAGACGAACGTCGGTCGAGCTGTTCGCACAGGAAGACCCGGCTATTACACGCGATGATAAAACTGACATAACTACGCGATAAGTCACGAACACCAACAAATAAAATGGAAGTTTTGGTTAGAAATAAATACTTTTCCTTGCCATATATCTAATAATAGACAGATGTCATCGTCTCTCCAGATGTCTGTTTTATTTCTCTGTTGATAGCCCGACACGTGTTCTGCAGCCTTCTTGTATTTTCTCGCGCGCGTGGGATTATGGGATCTCTCTTATGACGATCTAGTTTCGAGAACTCTCTTGAGTCGATCGCGATTGAACCTCGTTTCAATCGAGATTGAAACGGTCGAGAGAGGTCGCACCACGGTCCTTGATCGCAATCCAGATCGAAATGCTCGGTGCGAACGGGGTATTAGTACGGTATGTGTGGTAGTTGGCGATTAAATACATCGAATAATTGAAGTGTCACGAATTTCGTCATTTTCCTTTCGATTCTCTTAATAAAATAAAATTTTCGTTTATTTGCGTATCTTGTTCCATTGTATTTTACAGAAATATTCACGAAGATTGAAATTCCGTATTTCTAAATATGACGAAGAAAGTAATTCTTCTTACAGCAATCGCAACAAAACAGTTTATTGAATAAAATGATATATTTGGAGAAACTATAATTAATTTTTAGGTAAATACTTTCAAAATATTCACGGGATATCATGTCGGAAACGATAAACTAAATTACTGGTATTCGGATGAAAAGACATCGATTAACCTCTCCCTCTCCGGGGGGATTTCCAAAAATCCCTTCTTAGCGTACATTCTCATGACATACCCTGTGTACCAAATTTCAACTTTCAGTTCCTAACCGTTTGGGCTCTGCGCTTATTATTATTATCGATTATATTATAAGATGCACATAACACATGATAATAGTTCAAATATCATAAATATTTAATAATAGGAGTTCTATTGTATATATGAACAATGTATTATATAAATATTAAAATGTACAGTGAATTGAATATTTAAAATAGTATTGGATATTTCTATATTACAACTAGCTGTTACCCGCGACTTCGCCACGGAGGTTTTGCAAGCAAACCCTATTTATATTCAGTATTTCAACAACCATAGTAATTGTTATATAACACTTGCCGCTGACAATGATGAGAATTGCCGAGAATCAAACGTACTATTTTCAATTTGATCAATTTTCTGGAACAGTTACAATCGTTCTATAATTGAACCAATATGCAATAACATATTCGAATTTAAAACGGTTCGAACATTTGGTTAAAAAATCGAAATATATAAAAATATTTATAACAATGTCTGAATTGTTATCAATTTAATACACCTAAGTACTCAATGAAGACTAAACGCGGTTAAAAACAAAAAATCGCATCTAAAATAGTACAGTAGAAGCCGTTCTTCCGGTTAAGCCTTAATGCTCTCCCCCCGCTTGGGAATTTCGAAAAATTCCTTCTTAGTGTGCGTTTCCATGACGTACCCTAACTGTCTACCAAATTTCACCTCTTTAGGTTCAGCGGTTTGCTCTGGACGATGATGAATCAGTGACTCGGTCAGTCAGTCAGTCAGGACAAGTAATTTTATATATTTAGATAATGACAAAATATTAAATATTTAATTTTAAATAAAGTTTAAATAAATAAATTCGTGGCAAAAAATTAAATTTCTCAATAAAATTTTTCCTCGGAATTTGTTATACTGTATTTATTTTGATTTAAACAAAAGTCTGAAATGCTAAACAAAATTGTCTAATTAGATAAATATTTTACTGAATATATTACTTTCTAATATTAATATAATGGCCTACCTAACTTTATGGCTTAACTTTAAACTATGTTTTGACCAACTTCAATTTTTTCCAAGAAATAACTAAGCTATATCTAGAAGGGCTGTTTGGGCAACTAAAGAAAAATTCTTGGTCCTCGTGACCGTCATATAAAAAGTGTAAGAAATTCAAATGTGAAAAGTGACATTGAGAACATCCTGATCCAAATGCGTTGAAGTGTCCAAAAAAGCTTTTTTCCATTAAAGGCAAATATTACGAGTTTAAAGCCGAACCTTCTTCAAGACCATCTCCAAGTTTTGATCCTCTCAATTGCTTCGTTGTCTTTCTTTGGAATGACGGGAACCATCTGAAATAAAAGATTCGATAATTGATATTAATTAACTTTGGTATTTGAAATTATCTATAGATACTAATAATATAAATATGTTTTCCCAATATCGCCCACCTCTTCTTCAATATATCCCAATCCTGGTCATATTGTGCATCTATAACTGTTATCATTTGAACAGATACAGACTACTAAAATACGAAATGAAATTAAAACACTGTTTGTATGTTGATTAAATTAGACTAACAAAGCTACAGCATTTAGTTAAATAATTCTTTTTTCATCAATTTTTTAAAATAAAATTCTGCATTTATATAGAAAATAAATAAATCAGAATGTAGAATTTTATATGTATAAAAAAAATACATATGCACGGGAATAAATATTTTCATACCTAAATTGTTTTCTTAATTAAATAATTTAATACCACTCTTAATTATTTAATATTTACTTCGTAAATATTTTAAAAATAACGCCATACTTTTCAAATTGCAAAATTCCCATTAAAATTGTTAAAATATTTGTATCTAGCAATCTAGCATTACTTTATGCAAATAATTTCTTGTACTGTATAGCGTAATGACATATCTTTATATAGTCATTTAAAGATTTTTTGTATTTGGATCACTTTAGCTTTGCAACATGGCTACAATAGAACAAATCGAGCAACACAGAGGAGGAAGGGGTAAAATAATTTTTTGGTTATTTGCGTAAAATTTAGTACGAATATTAAAATATTTATGTTATTCTACGGTAGGAGTTAGCGTAATTAATGCGCGATGTCAGATATGCAAGAGACAAGCTTGGAACGATTATTATGGGAACTTCCTTTGCAAAAATTGTTTGCTATTTTTCGTGCAATCAATGAAGAATAGAGAAACCTACGAATGTTTCGCATCCGCAATGTGTCGTTTTAGTGTAAAAGCAGATATAAGAGCGTGTAAGTTTTGTTTATTAGAAGAAATGTTAATAATACATTTAGATCCAAAGAAATTTGGTATAAATGGAAACACCTGGTTCTTGAAAGAAAACGTAAAGAACTTGAGAAAAATACAGCCGAAGGTATGTCAAATTAAAACTTTTTTGCTTGAGTTTTGTGTGATTTTTTATTTTTGGTTATTTTTAAATTGTCTTTGTAAGGAACCAATAAATTTGGAAGCAGTTCAAGAAGTGTTATTGTTTAACAAGCGGTTCAAACAGAAGTCGGGGATTTTTAAAATGTGGATGGATTTTTTTCCTCCTCTAAGAAAACCATCAGTAGGCCAACTGGTAATTCGGTTATTCTTAATCTATTAAATATTTCACACGGTAAAGTAAAAGATTGCATATTTTAACAGAGTGCTTACTTAGAAAAATGTGAAAACAGAGCAATTGCAGTTTTCTTCGCAGAAGAATCTTTGCATCTTCATGATGTACTGAAGATTGAAGATCGATATTTCGATCCTTACAAATGTGATGTAGCTCAAATTCAATATCTCACAATTAAGTTGTTGGAGTTCGTACGTCTATTAAACCAGGAGGTTGCGGAATTTAGCATTCCTGACCATCTGAAAAAATCCTTGATATATTTTTCAGGCAAAATTATTATTATTATTATTTTCTTAAGTAATAGTTCTTATTTTTGAAAGTTAAAATATATATTTGTATATTTTTAGGAATAATGGATCGTGACTTAATAAATAGAGAACTGCACATAAAGCTTGCTGAAATTGCAGTTTGGTTGAGATCTTACAGAAATCTAGCAGAACAACTTAAACAGGAATTTGATGTGGATGACTACCAATGATCGACAATTTAATACGATTTCTCCCTTTCTTTTTTAAGATTTGCAATTACCTGTTTTTATCTTATATTAAGGAAAGCAATATTACTATAAGGCTTCTTTTTCTAATGTTTTCTAAATGTTTAAATTGCAAAAACGTTTTTTAATTTTAAGCAATGTTAGTATCATTCTAACGACTTTTAAACTCTAATTTTAATCTACAAATTGACGTTTTAAACAATTTATTTTCTGAATTATAAAAACTTTGAACGTTTTAAAGAAGAATTTTTGTACAAAAAAAGTCGAAATTTTTCGAAGGGAAATATAAATGATACCGAATTTAGATTTTAATGTAAAACATTAAAGGATTAGTAATATGGAAAGAACACACAAGTAATTTTTCTGTCTTCTAAGATGATTTATTTCGACGAATTTAGATATATAAACTTAGATAATTAAACTTTACGCCAATAAAAAGTATTTTTTAAGTTGTTCGTTACCGTTTAATTTTATATTTTTTACAATTTGGGGGAATTGAATACGTTTTTTTGCCAGATACTTTATCAAAATTGAATCGATTTATAACGAATGATAGTAAGTTTGACAGGCACACGTATCCATCATTTTATACGTATATACACATCATACGTGATTTTCATTCCGATAGATTTATTTCCCTCATTCAATTTCTATCACTTGTCTTCCTTTTTAATTTATCAAACTCTATCATATTTTTTAAACTGTAAAATATACAAAACACACTTCGATTTTAAATTACTTTTTTATATTCGCCGATAATAAAAATATATTTATTACGTAGATAAAGATGGATAATGGAGTTTAAGCACTTTTTTTTTCTTTGGTCGTTTTTCATAACTTTTCTTATCGTAATCAGATTATTTTAATCTCTGTATTTGTCTTTTTTAAGACATTATTTACGTATTATTATGCGAAATATAAAATTTAGTTTTTATCCAAGAAAATTAATGTACCGTTTACGTGATAAAAGGAGTATTTTTTAAAAAAATTTATTAAAATTATATTGGTGATTTAACTTCAGAAATGAGTAATAATGGTTGTTTTCAAGTTTTAATACATTTCATCTCCGACAGAGGACGCCAATGTTAACGCTGCCATTTTATTATTTTTATCAGTAAAAAGGGGAAAAAATAAATATGAATTAATTTAATTTGGATTAGATTTTAAGAAATTAAACATTTTTTAAATTTTTTTAAAATTATTAACAAAACTGGAAAGTGTATATTTTCAATATCTGGTTTAATTATTTAAAATATCAATAGAATTTTAAACTTGATGTCTCAGTTGAGATTTAATCGGCTCGAAAGGGCGATAAGTTTCCACAAAATGGATGGATCGATTGAAATTTCAAAGAGAAGGTCGATGACGATCGCTGGATTTGATCATTTTATTTCTATCGATCAATAATCTTTAGGGATTTTTTAAAAGATTCCCGATCGAGTTCAAATTCTGTGTTTATACATAATTTAGGCCTGTAATAAATGGATGCGTACTTCACACGTAACCTTTAGTGTAAATTATATTCGGCCCAGTGAGGCTTTTCACTTCTGTTAAAATTCGATAGCGATTATTCGACTAGCCTATCCGATTATCCGTTATCCGCCCGAGAGAAACTAGAACTAAGATTTTCGTAAAAGGCCACACTGAATCGAAATTTCGATTGTGAATTAAATTGACCGATAAAATAAAACGTCTCGGGAAAACTGCAAAAGTCTCATAGTTTATTATTTTCTATAATATTTTACATCAATTATGCTCTGTAAACGCGTATATTATTTTTCTTAAGCTTTTTAAATTACGCTGTATACGTTACTTTAAACATTTTATTGCATTCTTCTAACTTTCCAATGTTTTTTTTATGTTTAGAGAACATTATTTTTGTTTGTTTAATTAATAATAATAATAAGCAAAATAATTTATTTTAGCTATATTGTCGTTTAGTTTTAAAAAAAGGGGGAAAATGAACTGTTTCTAGATATTAATTAAATTTTCTGGATAGTTATATTAAGTTTTTAATTAATTTAATTTCTATTATTAATGTATATTTTCGAAATATATATTTAAATATAACATTGCATGTATGTATAAGATAAGAAGATGTCAAACAGTCATAAAATAAGTTCAACAAAACAACCAAGTCAGGAGCTTCAATCATTAACGTGTAATATATCGTGCCAATATCCATCATCCATTTATTCGGTATATGTAATCCTATCTAGTTATTAATCAGAAACTGAGACAAATGAGGTAAAGGAAAACGATATTGTTAACGTTGTAAGGTATTTTACTTACTTTTTCGGGAAATAATGCAGCTAATTGCTAATTATCCTAGAGAATTGTATTAAAAAAATTTTAAAGTACAAAAAAAATTGTCGTTCGTCTGGACAACCGGAGAAGACCAGTTTGAGGTTTATGTTTGAAGAAATGCCTGGCAGATAATGTTTCCCGATAAAACTTTTAAACGTGGAAGAGAAAACTGCTCTTTTGTTATTAAACATGGTTCTTGTCGTTAAAGGAAGTGCAAGAGAACAGAAAGGAAAAGGCGATTTTAATAAGAACTACTCTACCGCTCGTTTTAACGCGTACGGCAGAATTTCTAATAAAATATATTTTAATATTTCCCAAATAATCCGTTTTGTCTTTTTAATACATCATGCGAATAAGTTTTGACGTCACCATATAATTATGTTTTGTCGGAAGACGTACTTTCGTCGTCGCTGTCAAGATGCAATTCAGGCGATGATGGATATCCATGATTTCTCTCCTTTTAAAATATTTTGACGAATTAAATGCGATAAACGAAGAAAATTTCGATTTTATTTTCCAAACTTTAATGGAAGAAGTCGGAAATATGCCAGGTGGCCTCATTATGTTTGATTGAGTCCAAACTATGCAACTCTTCCCATTTTCATTTATTTATATAAATATTCTAAAGTTTTAAATAGCATTCGACGTTGCTATACGTCGTTTAAATTTAAATCTGAAATTATTTTTTTTTATTTTTAATGAAAAGATGCTTTAGAATGTGAAAAAACGCAGCCATTAATATTCGACACGTGGCATGAATGGCAATTAGTATTTTTCTTAAAATCTCTTTTAAGGATTTCATAAAAAGTTTTTATAACTTCAACAGCGTATTTTTAAGGGAATTTTAAATTTAAAAGATGATATTTTCCCTTCTGTTCGTGTTTATCTTTCTCTTTAAAACGATATTTAACTTGAATTTTTCAACTATCTTCGAAAGTCGATGCCATCTTTTGGCATGTCATTTCCATTTGCCACAGAAGGATGACTGCAGATAAAAAGTTTGTTGTGTGATCCGAAAATACTTTTTAAATATCTTCATCTATGACATTTCCAACTATTTTCCTAATATTCATAAAAGTATATTTTTAATGCAATTTCTGATCGAATTCGAGACTTTTTTTCATTTGCAGAAATCGCTATCGCGTGAGATCTTTCCAATGGAAATGATTTCTTTCTACTGTTATACACTTATAAATTACGACAGAAACATTTTCATTTTAAAATCTTACAATCCTATTGTTCGTACTAATTCACATACATATCATATTGTTCTGCGTAATAAGGACAAGTTAATAAAGTTTAAATATGGACCAATAGATGCTTTATTAGGAGATAAAGGTGGGCTTAACTGTAACACCCTCCTAAATTCTGTGTAAACAGTTTTAAAGGGACTTGTTTTTGACTTTGATAGCGACACACGTCGTAAAAATGATCACGAGAGTAGACACGCAGGCCATGAATTGTCACGATGGCTCGGGCCACAATTAGACGTCAAAGGGTGTCGAATGACGGCAACTCATCAAGGAAAACATCCGGGCCTAATATGTATGCTGATGCTCTCTCAGGATGTCGGGATATCACCCGTAGCAACCGGCTGTTAGTGCGTCATTAGACCGCCAGAGGGAGCAGCAAACGTATACTAACGTCGTGCATTCTCTGCAGAAGCTCGAGCCGAAAGAGTGCACGAGTTGTGTTTGTGTATTCCCAATTCTGTCAGGATTTCTCTTCGGATCCCATCGGCTGATTGTGAAAAATGTGAGTAACTATATAAATAATTACATTTCCACTGCAATATAATTTTTTTTTTAATTTAAAATTAACATATCGTCAGATCGCTTGTGTAAATAAAGGTGCCGTATATATACATAGTGGTATACTTATCCGCATCACTCCGACTAAAAACTATGAATACCGTGCCAAAATCCCTTTAAACTCTTTTTCTATTATCTGTTAGCTTCACGCAGCATTCTGTTTACGAATTGATGAGAATAAAATTTGTAGAAAATTTCTAGAAAAACCATCGAACGTGTTCAAACTAGCAAAAAAAAAAAGAAATTGAAAACTTAATGATTAAAAAAACTACTCAATTTAACTAACTTCAATGGAGATTTTATCGAAACTTTGATTAATTTCTCGTAAGTACAGCATTAAAATAGTTATAAATAGAAAGAGATATGCGAGAATTTTATCGCCAGTTAGTGTAAACGGCGTGAGATATTTGTAATAATGAGTTATCGGCTCTTTTATCCTTTTGGAGTAAAGCCAAATGACAATCGAATAAATTCTGTTGAGAAGAAATTCGCGCATTGAAAATTTCAATTCTTGTAAATTGGAAGATTTTAGTCAATTGGATGTGAAATGTTCCCCAAAGAAACATTATGTTGTGGTTCTTATTTGGTGACAAAGCACTTCTGTCATAGTCGATATCGTGGGGTCATTGTTGTCTTGTCTTTTTTTTTATTAAATGTCATCTCAACATACAATATTACACGATATTCTTTTCATTAAATTCTCTATAAAATATAATTTTATATATGTTTACTGCTAGCTACGGTGTATTCATTTTTCTTCTTTTTTAAAATAGAATTTCGCTTAATAAATTAAAAATCTTTTTTTTTATAAAGTAACCTTTAATTCCACTCGAAGAAATCGTCGAGTTTCTTGCGCTGTGTTAATCTTCCGGAACTGGATTATTGATATTATATAAAAGATACTTCTGCGAAAATATGATTTTTTATTCGAGAATATTTGGAAATTTCTCCTCGGATGGGAATAAATTTCGCCAGGAATCTGATTGCTACGGATAGAATCCATGTTTCATTCATCTGCTTGACATCACTTCTGGTGGAATGCAGGCAATTTCCCTTCTATCTTCTGTCATTGCCAAAATGTCTGCTTAAGACAACTAAAAAGATTTATTGCGATCAGAATAAGTATGTCATTAACGCAAATATTGTCGAGACAATTTTTATATAAACGATCATTACGTTGGAAAATTTAAACTGAAAGAAAATCATTTGCTTAGTAGACAACTGGAAACGAAAATACTATAGGCTACTTAAGTATATCCTCCTCTTTTTTTACTTTATATTGACGTATTTTCCTCTCCAAAATCAAATATCTATCGCCTACTCAAAAAACTTTTAGTTTTGTTGCGATAATTGTATCAATTGCATCACGTTTCTTTTGAAATCTCTTGAAAAAAATCAGCAAATTTTGTCTAGTTTCTCTGATTTATCAGCTGGGAATAAGTTCTTCCAATGCTTACATTATTAGATCTATAATGTTTATCATGTTTTATAGAATTCGTTTCCGTCCAATCATAAGTTGCATCGTTGTCTCTTCCACTTCCTGTTCTTTCAGAAAGAGAACAACGCACGGGATAACATTTTTCTTCCTTTTTTTCGTATTAAGTAGTTCGATAAATGACAACTCGTCCATAAATCAAAAATTTATCGGAAATTTAATTTTATACATCTTTTTGCACTTTCCTATACACAAACAGTAACTTAAATCTTTCTGCCGAGAAATTTTACTGCGATAAAACTACAATTAAGACCGAAAAAAAAAGGAAAAAATGTTTTATTTATTGTTTTATGTTTTCTAAATACTAAAAAAAAAAATAAAATTTAAGAATAATTTAATTTATTTTACGGTAAAATGTTTTTTTTTTCTTTTCTTTTCGGATAGAGTTCTTACATCTTTCTACGGAAAAAATGTATAAAATCCAAATTTATAAATAATAAAACGAATAAAATATATATAAAAATATTAAGATAGTGTCGAATTGATCCTCAGAAAACCGTAAGAAAACATAAATCTGATGCTACTTGAAAAATATTTATCTTCCTACTTTCATCCAAACTTTGTTTTTCTGCAATTGTTTTATCTATTATAATAACTAAATTTCTCTCTTGAGATTTTTACAATAAAAAATTCCATAGTAAAATATTCGATTTTCACAAATAAACTGTAGGCTGACACTTATGTAAAATTCATATAATGCTTTCATATTAATATTAACCTGCATGACTTTTCAAATAGTTAAAAACAAAGAATAGCTCACTAGAGACATTTTATTCGACAAATTTTCTATTCAATTTTCTTAAATTGATTGATATAAATATTTGTTCTTGACAAAATATTTGTTTTATCTTATTTTCAACTTAGTAAAAATATTTACTTTAATCGAATTTGTTTCTGCGAATTTGCATTAAGTTACTATAAAAATAAGAGGGAAAAAATTATTAAATAACCAAATGTTAAAAGTTTAAAGGATACTCTTTCAATTTTATATACAGTATTTTAAAAAAACACGTTTTCTAGTCGAGTTTGATAACCTTGCAGCTAGAATAAAAGGATTAATCTGAAACAGATTGGCTGTTAACACGAACCAAATGCAGTCTAGCGAAGAAAATGAACTTGATCAATCGTATTTTTCATCTGTCATTTTCTTCCAAACGAGGATTTTCACTTGTAAATATAAGTAAAACATTGTAAAACCCAAGTAAAACAATATAAAAAATATTCGTTTATTTAAGTAAATTGATCGTTTACAAATAAAATAATTGGTTAGACAATTATATAATTATATTAAATACGGTATGACATCTACTGCAAATGACAATCTCTCATAAAATTTAACATTTTTAGGGTAATATGTTTAAAAATTCTGAATTAATTAAATAATTTATCTACTAAAATAAATATTTTAATATTTAAACCTACACATGACTGTTGATAAAACAAGTTTATTGACTAAAAATAAAATGTAGGCTAATTAAATATTCATTTGTAGTTGATGAAATTTGAATTCTTTAATAAAAACACAAGATATTATACTCAAGTCTTTAATTATGTACTGTTTTGTGCAAATGTTCATAATAACAATAACAAGTTTTAAACTCTAATATAATTAAATATTTGATAAGAAATAAATTTTATATTTTAAGATAAACTTTAATTAATTACTACTCAATTTAATATTAAGTAAATTAATTAAAGTAATAAATAATAAGCTCAATAGTTGATATCAGATATCAAAATTCTTCCTGCATCAATTCAATTTGATTGTTTCAAGCTTAATAATTAGTTAATTAGCATTTTCTTCGCATATTTCTTTATAAATAACCTTTGATATAATAAACTAATAAAAGCAGAAAATGTGTTGTTAGTAAACATTATAAATATTCCGGATAATTTTTTCCAATTTCCATTTTTTCCAAAAAATATTGTATATAGTGCGTGTTATGTGATAAGAAATAAGGTAGAAAAGAGGCCACAATAATCTAGTATATTGATTAAGTCGATGTTATCGTTCTCCTTTACTTTCTTGAGGGAATTAGTACATCAATTAGTCTTTCGAACAGAATTTGATATATATAAAAACCCGATTTTAATGTTGGAATGTAATATATTTTCAGAGAGTATCTATTTTACGAAGAATTAATGACATCTGGATTCTTGTTTGTCAGCTACAGCTTATATTATTTACAAAATAGCACCTGTCAATTGCATTCGCAACACTTTATCTCCATTCTTAACTTTAATTGGCTCGTACTACAATAAATTATTACAGGAAAAAACAGCTTAAAAAAAAGACTAAAGCTGTAAACTTTAACCTTTTATTCGAGATTCTATAAGCTATATTAGTATTTTTTTAAATAGAACGGTGCTTGTTAACAAGTTTTTTTTGTAATGGGTAAATGGATAGGGCTAATATTTTCTCAAAAAAAATTAACAAAAAAAAGCTTTCTTGTAAAAGTTTTATCTATAGAAAGTATTGAAAATTTGTATTGATAATTCAGTCAACAAAGATTACTCTTAGGGTGGAGTATTGAAAATAAAGAAGCGAGCACTCTTTCAACAATACCTTCCGTTAACCTTTAATATTTCCTGTTCTTTCTGAAGATTGCAATTTTCTGAATATGAAGGCAAAATTGATCTAAAGAGTCTACAACTCTTATAAAAAAAAATATAAAAAAAGAGGCGGAAATAATGCAAGATCAGTTGTTATTGATCAAAAATAATTCTGATCAATTCCTTTCATTATAAATACAATTTTAAAGTTCCTTTCGAAAGATATTTCTTTGCTATTTCTTAAGATATATTGATTGCTTTTTTCTTTAGTCCAGTTACAGCTAACGTCCTGTCAGTATCTAATTTAATAGAGAAATCATCACTTTCTAGACACTCGAAAGGGGGAAAGAGTTTTCTCCTTTCGAAAAAACAGAGACGTGATGCAAAGTTCTTTACCTCGTTACTTCCAGATTAATCTTAAATAGCGTATCTTAATCTCGACGAATAAGACATTTATAGAATACCAAATGTATAAATTTCGAGTAAACAAACTCATTTTTAAATGATTTCCCCCCGTTTTTTTTAAAAATTAAATGTAATGTACGGCAATGGTTTGTAATTACTTTACATTCTTAAATTATTTTTGCTATATCTAACTAAAAAAAAACAAACTAAAATCAAATTGACGTTTTTTGCTTCTCTGTTTTAAATAAGTTTTTTGAATTTATCTAGGCGATGTTATTATTAATTTTCTTTACATTTATATAGAAAATATAATGAAGTGCAAATTGTGAAAAAAAAAAATTCAATTCAAAACTTGAAATTTTGACAAATATTTCAAGTTCCTTCTAATTGATTACAGGCAAATATATACTTGTGTTTTAATGAATTCAGTCCAAGTAGAAATGAAAATACCCATATTCTGTACTTTTTGAAGATTAATTAGGTTTGTAAAT